GTAAGTGACCTCATCACCTTCCGAAGACCTTACCTCCTGAACGTATCACCTTAGGCTTAGAGTTCAACATATAAAGTTTGTCAGGGGCGAGGCATGGTGACTCGAGCCAGTAATCCCAGCACTTTGGGAGGCCGAGGCGAGGAGATCACTTGGGGTCGGGAGTTCGAGACCAGCCTGGCCAGCATGGTAAAACCCCGTCTCTACTAAAAATACAAAAATTAGCCGAGCGCAGTAGCATGTGCCTGTAATCCCAGCTACTCAGGAGGCTGAAGCACAAGAATCACTTGAACCCAGGAAGCGGAAATTGCAGTGAGCCGAGATCGCACCATTGCGCTCCAGCCTGGGCAACAAGAGCAAAACCCTGTCTCAAAAAAAAAAAAAATTGGTGAGGGACACAGACATGAAGTCCATAACAACCAATATCCATCCCCCTGTGGAATGAGGCCTTCAGGAAGATCCTGTCTCTCTGTGTCATTGTGTCTCCGGTTTCTGCCTCCCCGGCGTGCTTGGCCACCACCTTCACCACCCCCTACAATGGGACCTTGGCAATGGCCTTGCCACTTCCTTCACACTGTGGCCTTGCTCTCTCCTAGCCTCCCTAGGCTCCCCAGCCTCTCAAACGGGAACATCACTGCTGCCAGACTTTCCACGTGTGGCGTGCCCAGGGTGTGCCCCCTGTCCCTGTGCCCTCCCCTTGCCATGTCACCTCTTCCCCAAACCTAGTGGTCACAAGGACTGGGATAGTGGAACACCAGGCCCCAGGACCAGCTCTGCCGCCTCTCTCTCATCTGCCAGGCCTCACAGCCCGCATCCTGCTGGCCTCACCCCATCTTCTTTCTCCCTAAACGAAAGAGGCCCCCATCTTCCCCCAGCCACCACCTCTTCCCAGCTTCTCTGTCCTGTGCCAGGCACCTTCCCTGCCTCGAGTTCCCCCAGGGCTCCATCTTAAACACTCTGGAGCAGTAAGTCCCTCATGGGAAGGGGGCACCCCAGGAATCTGGACAGAGAGTAGGTGTCCCCCATCTTCATTCAGGTGATGGTTACATGGAAGGCCCCAGAGGGGACCCCTGCACACTCCCTGCACTGCACACACTTCCCTGTATGTGTGGACTCGTCAGTACAGAGCAAAAGATTGTCCTGTGAAAAAGGAATGGAACATTGAGCCACCGTGCCTGTCATCACAGCCCTTTGGGAGGCCGAGGCGGGAGGATTGTTTGAGGCCGGAAGTTCAAGACCAGCCTGGGCAACATAGAGAGACGCGGTCTCTACAAAAAATGTTTAAAATTAGCCAAGCATGGTGGCCTGCACCTGTGGTCCCAGCTACTTGGGAGGCTGAGGCAGGAGGATTGCTTGAGCCCAGGAGGTTGAGGCTTGTAGTGAGCTATGATTACACCACTGCACTCCAGCCTGGGCGACAGAGCAAGACCCTGCCTCTTAAATTAAAAAAAAAAAAAAAAGAAAGAAAAAAGAAAAGAAAAAAGCAGCAGCAACCAGACACAAAAGGCCGTACAGTGTATGACCTCATTGACCTGAAATACCCACAACAGGCGAATCCATAGAGACAGGAAGCAGATTGGTGGTTGTCAGGGACTAGGGGAGGGAAATGGGGAGGGACTGCTGATGGGGACAGTCTCCTTTTAGGGGGATCAGAATGTTCTGGAACCAGATAAAGGCGATGGCTGCACAACATTGTGAATGTACTAAATGCCACTGAATTGTACACTTTAAAATGGTTAATTGTATGTTATGTTAGTTTTACCCCAATTTTTTTTTTTTTTTTTTTTGAGACGGAGTCTCGCTCTGCCGCCCAGGCTGGAGTACAGTGGCCGGATCTCAGCTCACTGCAAGCTCCGCCTCCTGGGTTCACGCCATTCTCCTGCCTCAGCCTCCCGAGTAGCTGGGACTACAGGCGCCTGCCACCTCACCCGGCTAGTTTTTTTGTATTTTTTAGTAGAGACGGGTTTCACCGTGTTAGCCAGGATGGTCTCGATCTCCTGACCTCATGATCCGCCCGTCTCGGCCTCCCAAAGTGCTGAGATTACAGGCTTGAGCCACCGCGCCCGGCCCCCAATTTTTTTTTAAATTGCTCTTTGAACCCACTTATCTTCCCACCAAACTGTAGGGCTCCTCGAAGGAGCTTCCACATACCCTGCCTTGTGTCCAGCAGTGAACCCAGAGTCCAGATCAGCCCAAAATTCCTGCTGCAAAGAGCCCAATAGGCAATATTTTTGCCTTTGCAGACTAGATGGTAGTGTCTGTTGCAACACAATTGAATGAGCCTGGCGTACACCAGTAAAACTTTATTGATGGACGCTGAAATATGAAGAGGTTTTTCACACCAGGAAATATTCTTCTTTGGGTTTTTGTTTGTTTCTTGTTTTGCCATTTACAAATGTGAAAATCATTCTTGGCTCGCAGGCAATTAAAAAAACAAGCATCAGACCAGATTTGACCCACAGGGTGTGGTTTACCCTATCAGATGAATGATTATAACTGAAAAGAATTCAGGCAATTGCCATTTTTAATGTCAGAGACTTAAACCTTGAACACCAGCCGGGCACGATGGCTCACGCCTGTAATCCCAGTACTTTGGGAGGCCAAGGCGGGCAGATCACCTGAGGTCAGGAGTTTGAGACCAGCCTGGACAACATGGGAAAACCTCATCTCTACTAAAAATGCAGAAGTTAGCCAGGCGTGGTGGCGCACACCTGTAATCCCAGCTACCCAGGAGGGTGAGCCACGAGAATCGCTTGAACCCAGGAGGCAGAGGTTGCAGTGAGCTGAGATCATGCCATTGCACTCCAGCCCGGCAACAGAGTAAGGACTCTGTTTCAAAAAAAAAAAAAAAAAAAAAACTTGAGCACCTTACACAACCTCAGACACAAAGATAAAGAGAGAAATGTTGGAATGGGCCTTGACTATAGACCTCTGTATTTTCCAGGTCTTATCTGGGCTTCTAAGTGACTTATAGCCTACTGTCTCAGGAATAAGTGAGTATCCTCAAAGCCCAGAAGGAGGAAGGCCCAGGGCTCCAGGCTGAGGCCTATAGCAGCTCCATCCTCGCTGGAGCCTGTTATCCTTAGCAAACCAACACAGGAACAGAACACCTAATATTGCATGTTCTCACTTATAAGTGGGAGCTAAATAGGGAGAACTCATGTTCACACAGAGGGGAACAGCAGACAGTGGGGCCTCCTGGAGGATGGGAAAAGGGAGAAGAGCAGAAAAAAATAACTATGGGGCCGGGCGCAGTGGCTCACGCCTGTAATCCAAGCACTTTGAGAGGCCGGGCCAGGCGGATCACGAGGTCAAGAGATCGAGACCATCCTGGCCAATGTGGTGAAACCCCATCTCTACTAAAAATACAAAAATTAGCTGGGCGTGGTGGCACATACCTGTATTCCTAGCTACTTGGGAGGCTGAGGCAGGAGAATTGCTTGAACCTGGGAGGCGGAGGTTTCAGTGAGCCGAGATCGTGCCACTACACCCCAGCCTGGGCAACAGAGCAAGAGTCTGTCTCCAAAAAAAAAAAGAAAGAAAGAAAAAGAAAAAATAACTATTGGATACTAGGCTTAGTATCTGGGTGACAAAATAATCTGTACAGCAAACCCCTGTGATACGAATTTACCTACTTAACAAACCTGTGTGTGTACCCCAAAACCTTAAAAGTTAAGGCGGGGCATGGTGGTACATGCCTGTGGTCGCAGCTACTTGGGAGGCTGAGGCGGGAGGATCCCTTGAGCCTGGGAGACAGAGGTTGCAGTGAGCCGAGATCGTGCCACTACACTCCAGCCTGGGTAACAGAGCGAGACCCCGTCTCAAAAATAATATTAAAAGGTTGAAAAATAAAGTTTATTTAGACAACAAATAAATAAAATGATGTTTTTGCAAATTATGTCACAATCTGAAAAATATTAACTAAATAAACCAAGGCCGGATACGATGGCTCATGCCTGTAATTTCAGCACTTTGGGAGACCGAGGTGGGTGGATCACTTAAGCTCAGGAGTTCCAAACCAGCCTGGGCAACATGGCAAAACCCCCTCTCTGCAAAACCTTAGCCAGACGTGGTGGCGCATGCCTGTGGTCCCAGCTGCTCGGGAGGCTGAGGCAGGGGGATCGCTTCAGCCCAGGAGGCAGAGGTTACAGTAAGCCAAGATCGCAACACTGCACTCCAGCCTGGGTGACGTTGTGTGACCCTGTCTCAAACAAAAAAAAGAAAGAAAGAAAATGGGCTACTCTCTGCTTACTGGGTAGCCCTGCTTTGCAGGAACAGTTAAAGAAAAAATAAGAGGCCGGGGGTGGTGGCTCATGCCTGTAATCCCAGCATTTTGGGAGGCCGAGGCGGGCAGATTGCCTGAGCTCAGGAGTTCAAGACCAGCCTGGGCAACATGGTGAAACCCAATCTCTACTAAAAATACAAAAAATTGGCCAGGCGTGGCAGTGTGCGCCTGTAATCCCAGCTACTTGGGAGGCTGAGCCAGGAGAATTGCTTGAACCCGGGAGACGGTGGTTGCAAAGAGCCGAGATCATACCCTTGCATTCCAGCCTAGGCGACACAGCAAGACTCCATCTCAAAAAAAAAAAAAAAAAAGAAAAGAAAAAGAAAAAATAGAGACCGGGCACAGTGACTCATGCACTTTGGGAGGCTGAGGCGGGCAAACTGCCTGAGCTCAGGAGTTCGAGATCAGCCTGGACAACATGGTGAAACCCCATCTCTACTAAAATACAAAAAATTAGCTGGCATGGTAGCGCGCGTCTGTAGTCCCAGCTACTCAGGAGGTTGAGGCATGAGAATTGCTTAAACCCAGGAGGCAGAGGTTGCAGTGAGCTAAGATTGTGTCACTCCAGCCCACGTGACAGAGCGAGACTGTCTCCAAGAGAAAAAATAGATAAATTGAACAATACAAAATAAAAATAAAGGCACAGTGTAAAATGAAAGGAAAAAAAAGAAAAATTCCATCCTCCTGATCTGAAAACCTGCTTTTGATTTCGTTGCAGGCTTTTGGAAACGCCAAGACAGCCCACAACAACAACTCCAGCCGGTTTGGGAAGTTCATCCAAGTCAGCTACCTGGAGAGTGGCATTGTGAGAGGGTGAGTCAGTGTCCCGGGGTCCCTACTGGTGGGAGCCGGCCCCACGCGCTGTTGCTTCCCGACACATATGGGAGTGAGATGTGGAGATCATGGCTGTGCGAATGTTTATGCTTTGTACAGGAGAGCGAGTGTGATTTAAAGTCTTTGACGTGAAGGTCTGGAGCAGTAGGTTGAGGTAGGAAATGTGGGCAGGGGCTGGGGGACATGGCTAGAGGTAATGGGCTTTACCGAAAACAGGCAAGGACAACAGCGCAACCCATTTCTTGTCTTGATAAAGTTTCAAATTTAGTAGGTCTTAGGGGTGTCACAGGCAATAGGGATATAGACTCTGGCCTTTGCCAAACATGTGTCCCTTCAGCCAGAAAATGACAAGCATGGCCGGGCGCGGTGGCTCAAGCCTGTAATCCCAGCACTTTGGGAGGCCGAGATGGGCGGATCACGAGGTCAGGAGATCGAGACCATCCTGGCTAACACGGTGAAACCCCGTCTCTATTAAGAAATACAAAAAACTAGCCGGGCGAGGTGGCGGGCGCCTGTAGTCCCAGCTACTCGGGAGGCTGAGGCCGGAGAATGGTGTGAACCTGGGAGGCGGAGCTTGCAGTGAGCTGAGATCTGGCCACTGCACTCCAGCCTGGGTGACAGAGCGAGACTCCGTCTCAAAAAAAAAAAAGAAAGAAAGAAAATGACAAGCACAGAGCAGCAAAGTGAGGTGGTTGTGCATTGGGAATACTGAAGGGTGGGTGGGTGGATGGACTCATGAGGGGATGGATGGATGGAGGATGGATGGATGGATGGATGGATGGCTGGGTTGGTTGGTTAGACAGACAGATGGATTCATGGGTGAATGGATTTTCAGGTAGATGGATGGACAGATATATGGATGGGTGGATGGGTGGATGGGTGGGTGGGTGGATGGATGGATGGATGGATGGATGGATTCATGCATGGATGGCTGAAGGGATGGCTAGATTAATTCTTGGGTGAATGGATTCATGAGTGGATGGATGAATAGATTCATGAATGGGTGGGTGGGTGGGTGGATGGATGGATGGATGGATGGATAGATAGGTTAATGGGTGAGTGGATTTATGGGTGGATGGATGGATTCATGAATGGATCTACCTGTACACTCATGAATCCATCCATCACAGGTGGATGGGTAGATTCATGGTAGGTGGATGAGTAAATGGGTAGATTCATATAATGAATGGGTGGGTGAATGGGTGGATGGATGGATGGATGAATGGATGGATGGTTGGTTAGACAGACACATGGATTCATGGGTGAATGGATTTTCAGGTAGATGGGTGGACAGATTTATGGATGGGTGGATGGATGGATGGATGGATGGATGGATGGATGGATGGATGGATTCATGCATGGATGGCTGAATGGATGGATAGATTAATTCTTGGGTGAATGGATTCATGAGTGGATGGATGAATAGATTCATGAATGGGTGGGTGGGTGGATGGATGGATGGATAGATAGGTTAATGGATGAGTGGATTCATGGGTGGATGGATGGGTTCATGGGTAGGTGGATAAGTAAATGGGTAGATTCATATAATGAATGGGTGGGTGGGTGGATGGATGGATGGATGGATGGATGGATGGATGGATGGATGAATAGATAGGTAGATTTATGCGTGAGTGGATTCATGGGTGGCTGGATAGATGGATTCATGGGTGGATGGATTTACAAGTAGATGGATAGATTCTTAGGTAGGCGGTTGAATAAATGGGTAGAGTTGTGGGTGTGTGGATGAGTGGATGGATGGATAGATAGACGGATTCATGGGTGGACAGATTCGTGGATGGATAAGTACATGGATTATTCATAGATGGATGGGTAGATTCATGGGTAGGTAGATGAATAAATGGGGAGATTTGTGGATGTGTCATTTAGCAAATGGATAGATTCATGGGTAAATTGGATGGGCTTGATCAGTGGATGTATGGATCCATTGATGGATAGATGAGTACTTAGATGGCATCTGACAGGGTCCAAGGCCTGGATACTCACAAGGATCCCCCACCTAACTACAGATTCTCGTTTGAGGGGCTGCTGTGTCAGTGGGATTTGTAAAGGTCCCAAGATTTTGTCTGTCTGAACCTGACTGATGATCATTTCAACTGATGGTCCATATTCAAGATACAAGCAGGCACATTGTTCTCCTGAACCCTTCCGCCTCTAGCTTCATTCCTTTTTCCCACTGCCCAGGCTCCAGTAGGCAGTGGTGTAGGTGAGTGGCCCTTGACAAATGTCAGGGGCTGCTCTTTCCCCTCGGCCTCAGCCCCCACAAGGCAGTCAGTGGCCCCCCAACTCCTACCATCTGCCCACACATGTGTGCCCAGTTCATCAGAGACACCTGGAACAGCCACTTGTCCCACCTGTCTTCCAGGCCCTGACCTTCTCTCCATGAAGACCCCACCTTTTTCACTTCATATTTTGGGGGTTAAAATACACAACATAAGGCCGGGCATGGTGGCTCACACCTGTAATCCCAGCACTATAGGAGGCTGAGGCAGGTGGATCACCTGAGGTCAGGAGTTCAAGACCAGCCTGTCCAATGTGGTGAAACCCCCGTCTCTACTAAATTAGCCAGGCATGATGGCAGGCAACTGTAATCCCAGCTACTCGGGAGGCTGAGGCAGGAGAATCGCTTGAACCCAAGAGGCGGAGTTTGCAGTGGGCCAAGATCATGCCACTGCACTCCAACCTGAGCGACAAGAGCGAAAGTCCATCTTAAAAAAAAAAAAATTAGCTGGGCGTGGTGGTGCATGCCTGTGATCCAGAAATTACAGGTGTGAGCCACTGCACCCAGACACTATGTTTAGTTTTTCTTTCTTTTTTTTTTTTTTTTTTTTTTAAGACGGAGTTTTGCTCTTATTGCCCAGGCTGGAGTGCAGTGGCGCAATCTCGGCTCACCGCAACCTCCGCCTCCTGGGTTCAAGCGATTCTCCTGCCTCAGCTTCCTGAGTAGCTGGAATTACAGGCATGTACTACCACGCCCAGCTAATTGTATATTTTTGGTAGAGATGGAGTTTCTGCATGTTGGTCAGGCTGGTCTCAAACTCCCGACCTCAGGTGATCTGCCTACCTTGGCCTCCCAAAGTGCTGGGATTACAGGCGTGAGCCACCACGCCTGGCCGTTTAATTTTTTAAGAAGCCGCCATACTGTTTCCCACAGAAGCCACACCATTTTACATTCCCATCAGCAATGCACAAAGGTCCCCACCTCTTATCTTTGATTTTATTTTTCTTCCCATGGGTCCGTCTTTTGTACGATCCTATCTGCCACATTGCAGAGATTTTTAGCCCACAGGAAGCATTCAGGGTACCTTGTTGGGAAGATGACACAGATACTGTTGCTACAGTTCCAGGCCTCCCTTGGGGAGAAACTAAGCTGCCTCCTCGTCTTGTCTGGGTGTCCAGCTGGCTCTGGACAGACACTACAGGATTCACCTCCGTATGGGCACCGCCCCCTTTCCCACAGTATCTCTGTCTGCATTTCCTAGGAGGGACTGCCATAACAGTGTACGACAAACCATATGGCTGAAACAGCAGGAATTATTCTCGCAACATCCCGGAGGCCAGAAATCGGATATCAAGGTGTCCACAGCGCTGGTTCCTTCTGGAGGCTCTAGGGAAAGATCCTGGCTACCTCCTCCAGCTTCTGGTGGCTCCCTTGGCTTGTGGCCACATTACTCCAATCTCTGCCTCTGTCTTCAGGTGGCCTATGTCTCTCCTGTTTTATTTTTTTATTTTTATTGTTTTGGAGACGGAATCTCACCCTGTCGCCCAGGCTGGAGTGCAGTGATGCTCTCTCTGCTCACTGCAACCTCTGCCTCCCAGGCTCAAGCAATTCTTGTGCCTCAGTCTCCCGAGTAGCTGGGATTATAGGAATGTGCCACCACACCCAGCTAATTTTTGTTATTTTTAGTAAAGACAGGGCCTCACTGTGTTGGCCAGGTTAGTCTCAAACTCCTGGCCTCAAGTGATCCGCCTGCTTCGACCTCCCAAAGTGCCGGGATTACAGGCGTGAGCCACCACCCCCGACCCCCTCTTCTCTTATAAGAACATTTGACATTGGATTTAGGGCCTTCCTGGATTATTAAGGATGATCTTGAGGTCTTTAACTTAATGGCCTCTGCAAAGACCCTTTTTATTTTTTGAGATAGCATCTTACTCTGTTGCCCAGGCTGGAGTACAATGGCTTGATTATGGCTCACTGTAGCCTTGAACTCCTGGAGTCAAGTGATCCTCCTGCCTCAGCCTTCTGAGCAGCTGGGACTACAGGTGCACACCGCCACACCTGGCTAATTTTTTATTTTTATTCCGTAGAGACAGGGTCCCACTATGTTGTCCAGGCTGGTCTTGAATTCCTGGCCTCAAGAGATCCTTCCACCTTGGCCCCCCCAAAGCTCTGGGGATTACAGGCATGAGCCACTGCGCCCAGCTCCCTTTTTCCAGATAAAGTCACATCCCCAGGTTCCAGGAGGCATAACTTCCAGGGCCCGCCATTGGACCACACACCAGAAGGGCTGTCCTGGCCCAGCCCATAGCTAAACGGTTCAGCCTCCCTTGCCTTCCCCAGGGTGCTGTCATATTCAGGACCAGTGGCCCTCTGTGACCAGGTCTCCCAGACCAGCTTTGAAAAGTCATATCTGTGGCCTTGGATTCAGGAAAAGGAGTCCTGCCTCCACCCACAACCTCAGGACTGTGGCCATCCTCACCCCAGGGAGGGAGGCGCACTTCCCATCCCAAGAATGGCCGCAGCAATCACAAGGAGCCGGCTCGGACCGGTTCTGCTTTTGCCTACCTTCAGGCAGGTGACACTTCTCCATGCCATTCCCACGAAAGCCAAGGATCAGGCGTAGTCCAAGCCTCCCTGCCCAGTTCCCCAATTTATGAGGCTGCAGGTGCTGAAACTGGTTACTAGCCCGGCAAAGGAATAGAAGGAAACATTTTTTTCTCCTATTTGAAAGAAGAGAGGACCTAGGCCAGGCCCATCGAAAGTCACCTGTGCATCGTGTATGTCCCTGTGTGAGCCTGCAGACAAAAGACTGCTGTCCTGGGCTGGGCATGGTGGCTCATGCCTGTAATCCCAGCACTTTGTGGGACTGAAGCGGTTGGATCACGTGAGGCCAGGAGTTCAAGACCAGCCTGGCCAACACGGCAAAACCCCATCTCTACTAAAAATACAAAATTAGCTGGGTGTGGTGGCGCATGCCTGTAATCCCAGCTACTCGGGAAGCTGAGGCAGGAGAACTGCTTGAACATGGGAGGCAGAGGTTGCAGTGAGCCGAGATCATGCCACTGCACTGCAGCCTGGGTGACAGAGTGAGACTCTGTCTCAAAAAAAAAAAAAAAAAAAAAAAAAAGACTGCTGTCCTGGAGAGACAGGCAGGCGGCATTCAGCAGGCCCTGAATCAGGAACCTTGTGCTGTACCCTGGCCCTGCCACCCCTTGGGCACCAGCTGTGTCTCCTGCATAACAGGATAAGCTCAGATGAGGGTGATCTGGAGCCCCCAGTGAGCTCACATCTCTAGTGATGGTGGACCCTGTGATAGACCGGCCCCACCAGACTCAGCCAGCCCCAGCTGGTGCGAAGTGATCCCACCAGACCACCCGCCTCCCACAGGACCCTGGGCAGCACGTAGTCTCACCGAGCCTCGGCTCCTTGTCCACTCCTCAGGAGCCACCGTGCCTGCCCCAGCGTGTGAGAGGAGTCCCTGAGAAATATATCAAATGATGCCTAGAACGTATTTGTCCTTGAAAAAACATTCCCTGCCACTACTTTTAGCATCGAGAGATATTTGGGGCTGCAGAGACACCCTAGTCCCTGTGCTGGCACCCTCAGACTCAAGGTCCCACATGATGCCAGGTGCCTCCTGAAGGACCTCTGAGAATTTAATTTGGAGGAAACACCTTAACTGCTTGGCACAGAGAAAATGATTGGCAAGGCCAGGAGCAGTGGCTCACACCTGTAATCCCAGCACTTTGGGAGGCCGAGGCGGGTGGATCACCTGAGTTCAGGAGTTCGAGACCAGCCTGGCCAACATGGTGAAATCTGTCTCTACTAAAAATACAAAAATTAACTTGGCGTGGTGATGGGCACCTGTAATCCCAGCTACTGGAAAGCTGAGGCAGGAGAATTGCTTGAACCCAGGAGGCGGAGGTTGCAGTGAGCAGAGATCACGCCACTGCACTCCAGCCTGGACAACAAGAGCAAAACTCCGTCTAAAAAAAAAGAAAAAGAAAATGATCGGCAAACGGCAGAACACCAGACTGTATGGATACAACCAAGTATTGATGGGTATCACAGACCCCTGGGCTTCCAAGGACACTGTGACAAAATTGGAGAGGAAGCCCCAGACCCAGAGAAGGTACCTGCAAATCAGAACCAAGAAAGGACTTGAATCTAGAATATAGAAAGAGCATTTATAGCTCAATAATAGGACCAACACCCCAATAAGAAAACCACAAAAGACATCAATGGATACTTTATCAGAGAAGACCTGTGAATGGCCAGGCAGCACGTGAGAAGATGTTCGGCATCATTGGTCATCACGGAAATGCAAATCCAAACCACAGTGACAGGCCAGATGCATGGCTCATGCCTGTAATCCCAACACTTCAGGAGGCTGAGACAGGTAGATCACTTGAGGCCAGGAGTTATAGACCAACCTGGACAACATGTCGAAACCCCGTCTCTACCAAACTACAAAAATTAGCCTGTAGTCCCAGCTACTCGGGAGGCCGAGGTGGGAAGATCACTTGAGCCCAGGAGGACAAGGCTGCATTGAGCCATTATTGTGCTACTGCACTCCAGCCTGCACAACAGAGCAAGATCCTGCCTCAAAACAAATGCTGCAGTGGCTCATGCCCGTAATTCCAGCACTTTGGGAGGCTGAGGCAAGTGGATCACCTGAGGTCAGGAGTTCGAGACCAGCCTGACCAACATGGAGAAACCCCATCTCTTCTAAAAATACAAAATTAGCCAGGCATGGTGGCACATGCCTGTAATCCCAGCTACTCGGAAGGCTGAGGCAGGAGAATTGCTTGAACCCAGGAGGTGGAGGTTGCAGTGAGCCAAAATCGCGTCATTGCACTCCAGCCTGGGCAACAGAATGATACTCCATCTCAAAAAAAAAAAAAGCCCACAGCGACATACCACTACACCCCCACTAGGATGGCTAGAATAAAAAAGACAGTGAATAACAAATATTGGCCAGGCGTGGTGGCTCATGCCTGTAATCACAGCACTTTGGGAGGCCAAGGTGTGCAGATTACTTGACATAGGTCAAGAGTTCGAGATCAGCCTGGCCAACACGGCAAAACCCCACCTCTACTAAAAATACAAAAATTAGCTGGGTATGGTGGCACACGCCTGTAATTCCAACCACTCTGGGGGCTGAGGCAACATAATCGCTTGAACCCGGGAGGCAGAGGTTGCAATGAGCCAAGATTGTACCATTGCACTCCATCCTGAATGACAGAGCGAGACTCCATCTCAAAAAAAAAAAAAAAAACACCTCAATATTAACACAATACTAAAATGTAACGTTTTATTCTTTCTCTTTTTCTCTTAATGACAGAGCTGTCGTCGAGAAATATCTGCTTGAAAAGTCTCGCCTGGTGTCTCAGGAGAAGGATGAGAGGTAGGAGAACGTTTTCCCAGGAATCTCTGAATGCCACGTCATGTCTGCGTTTCTTCCTACAGAGGAGAGAAGCAAAGCAAATGTCCTGAGGTCAGAAGAACTCGGGGAGGCCGTGGAGGCTCTCACAGGAGCAGGGCCTGCCCATCCATCTTCTCCCCAGACCTGCTCCTGTGGCCTCACACTTTGTTTTCATACCTCCCAAGCCACCTTTGTGTGCCTCCCTGGAGGTTTTATCCCCAGTACGTGCTCAGATGTCTGCACAAAATATAGAAAATTAGATTGGAAGCATTTCTTAGGCATGGTAGCATGTGCCTGTAGTCTTCTAACTATTCGGGAGGTCTAGGCGGGAGGATCACGTGAGTCCAGGAGGTTGAGGCTGCAGTGAGCTAGACACCACACTTCAGCCTGGGCAATAGAGCAAATCCTTGTCTCTTTGTTTTTGTTTGGTTAGTTGGGTTTTGTGTTTTGTTTTGGTTTTTTTTTTTTTTTTTGGTTTGTTTGTTTGTTTGAGTCAGAGTCTTGCTCTGTCACCCAGTCTAGAGTGCAGTGGTGTCATCCCGGCTCATTGCAACCTCCACCTCCTGGATTCAAGCGATTCTCATGCCTCTGCCTCCCAAGTAGCTGGGATTACAGATGTGCACCACCACGCCCGGCTACAGTCCTTGTCTCTTTAAGAAAAAAAAAAAAAAACAGGCCTGTAGCAGTGGCTAACGCTTGTAATCCCAACACTTTGGGAGGCCTAAGCGGGAGGATCACATGAACCCAGGAGTTCCAGACCAGCTTGGTCAACATGGCGAAATCCCATCTCTGCAAAAAAAAAAAAAAAAAAAAAATTAGCTGGGCATGGTGACACACACCTGTAGTCCCAGCTACTCAGGAGGCTGACCTGGGAGGATCACTTGAACCCAGGCAGTCGAGGCTACAGTGAGCTGTGATCACACCATTGCACTTCAGTCCGAGCAACAGAGCAAGACCCTATCTCAAAAAAAAAAAAAAGAAATATTTCCAGTTGACAAGTTAGTGAGATGTACACCCACCCACCTCCAGTCCTCCGGAAATCTATTTGCTCAAGATGCTCATTTGTTTCTTTTTGTTTTTTTAAGACATAAGAACTGACTTACTGTTTTAAATTTGTACATATTTGAGGTGTGCTCTCCAAAGCCATGTTAGTAGTGGTTTGCAGAGTAGCTATTGCTTGGCCTCCAAAAACAACTGTGTTCCTCCCAATTTTGACCTGTAGGAACTACCACGTGTTTTATTATTTGTTACTCGGGGTCAGCGAGGAAGAGCGCCGAGAATTTCAGCTCAAGCAGCCTGAAGATTATTTCTACCTCAACCAGGTAAACAGCCTCAAGCCCCAGTCACAAACGCCACCTCTGTTCCCGGCTTCAAGCTGTTTATGCACAGCCAGGAAGTCAGAGGCAGCCTGCCCTGGCCCCCAAACCCGCTCCCAGAAGGCAACATTAAAAGAACCCATTCATTCCCTTGGTCCTGGGGCCCTGCCCCGCTAGCTCCAGCCAAAATCACTCTGGCACGCCACCCTCGCCGGCCCAGGAATGCCCAAAGTACCGACGCCTTTGTTTTCCAGCATAACTTGAAGATTGAAGATGGGGAGGACCTGAAGCATGACTTTGAGAGGCTCAAGCAGGCCATGGAGATGGTGGGCTTCCTCCCCGCCACCAAGAAGCAGTAAGTGTGCGGGTCCCGGGGACCGTCCCTCAGAGCGTACAGGGGGCGCACATGTCCCTTACCAGTCACTCTGAGGTCTAACCTGCAACCCAGTGAAAACGGGCAGGCAGTGTCCTGAACAGAGCCGCCATAGGAAGTGTGGCCCAATAGCAGTGAGCACATGAGAAGGGGCTCAAGCCATTGGTCATCAGGCGATGCCAATTAAAGGTAATGTGAACATACTTAATGCTGCCGAGCTGTACCCTTAAAAATGGTTTGGCCAGGCGCCAGGTGGCTCACTCACGCCTGTAATCCCAGCACTTTGGGAGGCCAAGGTGGAGAATTACATGGGCCCAGGAGTTCAAGACCAGCCTGGGCAACATGGTGAAACCCCATCTCTACAAAAAATAAATAAAATTAGTCAGGCGTGGTAGTACACACGTGTGGTCCCAGCTACTTGTGGCGCTGAGGTGGGAGGATCACTTGGGCCAGGGAGGAAGAGGCTGCAGTGAGCCACGATCACGCCACTGAAGTAATCACGCCACTCTGGGTGACAAAGGGAGACCCAGTCTCAACAAAAAATAGTTTAAAGAATACTGGGTGCGGTTGTTCCCACATGTAATCACAGTGCTTTGGACGGCCAAGGCAATGGGATCACTTAAAGCCAGGAGTTCAAGACTGTGAGCTAGGATTGTGCCACTTCATTTCACCCAGGCAACAGAGCAAGACCCTGTCTCTAAAAATCAAAGAAGTTAAGGTAGTGAATTTCATATTATGCTTATGTTACTACAATTTAATTATTTTTTTTTTTAGGTGGGGTCTCACTCTTTCACCTAAGCTGGAGTGAAGTGGTGAGATCATGGCTCACTGCAGCCTTGACCTCCCCTGGTTCAGGTGATCCTCCCACCTCAGCCTCCCAAGTAGCTGGGACTACAGGCGCGTGCCACCACACCCAGACGATTTTTTGTAGAGACAGCGTTTCCTCATGTTGCCCAGGCTAATTTTGAATTCCTGGGCTCAAGCCATCCACCTGTGTAAGCCTCCCAGCGTGCTGGAATTACAAGCACAAGCCACCGCTCCCAGCAATTTAAATTTTTTTAAACCAGGCGTGGTGGCTTACGCCTGTTATCCCAGCTATTTGGGAGGCCAAGGCAGGAAGATCGCTTGAGACCAGGAGTTTGGGACCAACCTGGGTAACATAGCAAGACCCCATCTATTTTTTTTTTTTTTTTTTTTTTAAATTTTCCAGGCATGGTGGCACACACCTGTAGTCCCAGCTACTTGGAAGGCTGAGGTAGGAGGATCACTTGAGCCCAGGAGTTCACAGCTACAATGAGCTAAGATGGCACCTCTGGCCTGGGCGCAGTGGCTCACGCCTGTAATCCCAACACTTTGGGAGGCCGTGGCAGGTGGATTGCCTAAGCTCAGGAGTTCAAGGCCAGCCTGGGCAACATGGCGGAACTCCATCTCTACTAAAAATATGAAAAATTTGCCAGGCATGATGGTGCACACCTGTAATCCCAGCTACTCAGGAGGCTGAGGGACGAGAATCACTTAAACACGGGAGGCAGAGGCAGCCGTGAGCCAAGATTGTGCCAGTGCACTCCAGCCTGGGCGACAGAGCAAGACTCTGTCTCAAAAAAAAAAAAGATAGCACCTCTGAATAGCCAGTGGACTCCAGCCTGGACAATATAGCCAGTGACTGGCCAGACATCCCATCAAGTTCACAGACAGCATTAGACGTCAGGACAGTGGTTCCTCTGGGGTTGGGGGGCTCCAGGATCCAGGACTTGGAATGTTCTATTTCTTGGTCTGGAGGCTAGTTAGAGGGATCTGTACACATTTTTTAAAAAAAAAAAAAACAGTTTCACTAGCCAGGCATGGTGGTGCAAACCTATAGTCCCAGCTACCCAAGAGGCTAAGGTAGGAGGCTCACCTGAGCCAAGGGAGGTTGAGGCTGCAGTGAGCCATGATTGTGCCACTGCACTCCGGCCTGGGTGACAAGAGTGAGACCCTGTTTCATAAAAAGAGAAAATAGCTGTCTAGCCAGGTGCAGTGGCTCATGCCAATAATCCCAGGTATTCAGGAGGCCAAGGCAAGAGGATCACTTGAGACCAGGAGTTTGAGACCAGCCTGGGCAACATAGCAAGACTCCATCCCTTTAAAAATATGTTTTTAAATTAGCCAAATGTGGTGGCCTGTAGTACCAGCTACTCAGGAGGCTGAGGCAGTAGAATCACTTGAGCCCAGGAGTTGGAGGTTACAGTGAGCTATGATTGTGTCACTGCACTCCAGCCTGGGCGACAGAGCCAGATCAAATCTCAGGAAAAAGGTAACTGTCTGCAAAGTCACATTCCACAGAGGCAGTCTTCAACAGAGGCCTTAGATATTTTTCCAACTTCATGCGTTCTGAACAAAATTTGCTGGTTTTATGGATTCAGCCCAGTTCCCTGGAAGAATCTGATGTCTTAGGAATGTAGAAACTGCCCAAATGTGAGTGCCTTTTCTTTCCCAGGATTTTTGCCGTCCTCTCGGCCATCCTGTACCTAGGCAACGTCACTTACAAGAAGAGAGCTACAGGCCGAGAGGAAGGGTTGGAGGTCGGGCCGCCCGAGGTGCTGGACACCCTGTCGCAGCTTCTGAAGGTACTGATCACCATCTCTGTCCCTCCTTAGGCCTGACTCAGGGCCGCTGGCTATCTCTCAATACGAGGGACCGTACCCAGAACTTCCTACGTAGGCTGAGGTTTCATCAACCAGGACCTTACGTCTTCCGCTCTCATCTCTACAGTGTTGCTTCCTCATTTCTGATGAGCTCTGTGGACGGGGGCATCTCCTCCTCCCACCCTCAAGTGAAAGCCTCTCTGAAACTACAGCTCAGGGGCCAGGTGCGATGGCTCACACCTGTAGTCCCAGCCCTTTGGGAGGCCAAGGTGGGAGGATCAACTGAGGTTGGGAGTTCAAAACCAGATTGGCTAACATGGTGAAACCCCATCTCTACTAAAAATACAAAAAGAAATTAGCCAGGCATGGTGGTACGTGCCTATAGTCTAAGGTACTCGGGAGGCAGAGGCACGAGAATCACTTGAACTTGGGAGGCAGAGGCTGCAGTGAGCCAAGATTGTGCCACTGCACTCCAATCTGGGCAACAGAGCAACACTCTGTCTCAAAGAAAGAAAAAAACTATAGCTTGGGGCTGCGTGCAGGTGTTGATGGTGTGCTCCTGTAATCCCAGCTACCCAGGGGGCCAAGGCAGGAAGATTACTTGAGCCTAGGAGTTCATTGCTGCAGTGAGCTGTGATCGTGCCACTGCACTCCAGCTGGGGTGAGTGACAGGGTAAGGCCCCATCTCTTAAAAAACAAAAACTTCTGGTTTGATCATTTTCTCATTGGACCTGCCATCCCTTCCTCCTCCACTGGTTCTCAGCCAGGGGCAGTTGTGCCCCCAGGACACACTGGGCAATGTCTGGAGACCTTTCTGGTTGCCATACTCTGGGTTGCTCCTGGCATCTGCTAGGTAGAGGCCATGGATGCTGCTCAACACCCTGCAGTGCACAGGACAGCCCCCCCCGGCAGAGAATTATCCAGCCCCAAGTGCAAAAGGCAGTGAGGCCGAGGAACCCTACCCCAGTCTTTTGTGTTTTAATCCATTTATGCTTAGCGTTCCATTCTTGGTACAGGAGCCCCAGCTTCTGTTGAGTTCTTGGGGATATGTGAGCATCTGCTGGGATATTCAGAGAAAGCCCCTGCCAGCCGGGCACGATGGCTCACGCCTGTAATCCCAGCACTTTGGGAGGCTGAGGCAGGTGGATTATCTGAGGTCAGGACTTCGAGACCAGTTTGAGAACATCAGGCCCCAAAACCTGACCAGTATGGAGAAACCCTATCTCTACTAAAAATACAAAAATTAATTGGGCATGGTGGCGCACACCGTAGTCCCAGCTATTCAGGGGGCTGAGACAGGAGAATCACTTGAACTCGGGAAGCAGAAGTTGCAGTGAGCCAAGATTGCGCCACTGCACTCCAGCCTGGGCGACAGAGCAAGACTCCATGTCAAAAAAAAAAAGAGAGAGAGAAGGCCCCCGCTTATTCCCCACTCTTGCTGCTGGTGGGCAGAGACCACCAGCTCAGGTAGCTTGGCAGTTGGGGGAGGGATGAGCATGTCGGCTGTCTGGGTAAAGTCTAAGCCCAGCCCCTGTGCAATGGATGGGAGCCACCAGCTCCAACAGGCAAAGCAGTGAGTGCTGGTCACCGGGCGCCACCTGGACCCATGGCTCACACTCACATAAGGCCTGTGCGCGCCACGGGGTGAGCATCCAGCAAGCCCATGCTATGTGGGAATTCTGAAACCTGCCAAGTATAAAACAACATCGCAGGCCAGGCACAGTGGCTCATGCCTGTAATCCCAACACTTTGGGAGGCCCAGGCAGGCGGATCACCTGAGGTCAGGAGTTCAAGACCAACCTGGCCAACATGGAGAAACCCCATCTCTACAAAAAATACAAAAATTAGCTGGGCATGGTGGCAGGCGCCTGTAACCTCAGCTACTGGGGAGACTGAGGCAGGAGAATCGCTTGAACCCGGGAGGCGGAGGTTGCAGTGAGCCAGGATCACACCACTGTACTGCAGCCTGGGCGATAGAGTGAGACTCTGTCTCAAAAAAAAAAAAAAAAAAACAGGCCGGGCGCGGTGGCTCAAGCCTGTAATCCCAGCACTTTGGGAGGCCGAGGCGGGTGGATCACGAAGTCAGGAGATCGAGACCATCCTGGCTAACATGGTGAAACCCCGTCTCTACTAAAAATACAAAAAACTAGCCGGGCGTGGTGGCGGGCGCCTGTAGTCCCAGCTACTCGGAGGCTGAGGCAGGAGAATGGCGTAAACCCGGGAGGCGGAGCTTGCAGTGAGCCGAGATCGCGCCACTGCACTCCAGCCTGGGTGACACAGCGAGACTCCGTCTCAAAAAAAAAAAAAAAAACAGCACATCGTGGGTGGGTGGGCAGGCTTCAGGGCCCACTTCCAGGCCTGGCTGCTGAGGGTCCATCTCCCAGCTGCCTCTGGCCCCGGGCCTTGCCTCAGTGACACCAGGACATGCCTGATATGCCCTCCATCTCCCTTTTCCTTCTCCCTCTCCTTGACCTCCAAACAGGTAAAGCGAGAAATCTTGGTGGAGGTTCTGACCAAAAGAAAAACGGTGACCGTCAACGACAAGCTCATCCTTCCCTACAGCCTCAGCGAGGTGAGCGCTGCCCAGGCACTCACAGAGTGCCAGACCCCAAAACCCAAGCGGGAATGGTCTTTGGAAAGAGCTGGCGTGAGTGGGCCGTTCCTGTCCCTGAAATGCTAGAATGGAACCCAGGCAGTGCCTCTGATTGTCATGTGAGTTCAGGCCAGCCTGGGACACAAACCATGGCCCTCAGGCCAGAACTTGAGCCACATGCATTCATATCTGTGTTTCTATATGTTCCGTGTGCGTGCTGATTCTCACCAGCAATAGTTGGCCAGATCCAGCCTTCCACCTGGTTTTGCTAATAAAGTTTTATTGGCACATGGCCATACCCATTCATTTACATACCACCTAAGACTGCTTTGGGGCCATAGCAGCTAAGCAGAGCAGTTGCGACAGAGAACATCAGGCCCCAGAGCCAAAAATAATGACTCCCTGGTCCCTCCCAGAAAAAAATTTGCCCATCCCTGGACTCCGGAACATGACACTGACTACCCTTATGTAACTCCCAGCCTATAAGTCTCAAGCCTGTGACTCTAAACCTTGTTAAGGTGCCTCCCTCTGGTCTTTGCCCCAGCCTGGATGTTTTCTCTGTGCTGTATTTCTCTTGCATTTTTACATCTCAAGAGCAGGATCACTTGCAGCTTGTTTAACAATAGGAAAGTACCTAGTCACAATGGGGATTTTTAGCCCCTCACCCAATGGGAAGCTGCTGTGGCATTTCAAACAGGCACCGGGGACATTCTGAGCCTACATGGGTCCAGGGCACCACGTGATGTTGCCAGGAAGTTGCTGCACATCACCCAAGACCCGAGCAGCACTGGTGCCCCGAGAGGCTCCACGCAGAGCCAAAGGTGCCCGACAGGGGCTGCATTCTGTGTGGCTCCATTTCCTTGACACCCAAGAAATACAAAACGAAGGGGACACATTCTAGATCTTGTCTGCCGGTGAATACATCTGTCAGAGTTGCGACCTGAATATGTGGGGAAAAAAAAGACAATTTATTCTATATAGATTGGACCTTAAGAGCTTTTTTTTTTTTTTTTTTTTGAGATAATGTCTCACTCTCGCCCAGGCTGGAGTGCAGTGGGACTATCTCGGCTCACTACACCCTCCTCCTCCCAGATTCAAGTGATTCTCATGCCTCAGCCTGCTGAGTAGCTGGCATTACAGGTGTGCACCATGAGGCCTGGCTAATTATTTTTGCATTTTTATTTTTATTTTATTTTTGAAACAGAGTTTCGCTCTTGTTGCCCAGGCTGGGGTGCGATGGCACAATCTCGGCTTACTGCAACTTACGCCTCCTGGGTTCAAGCAATTCTCCTGCCTCAGCCTCCTGAGCAGCTGGGATTGCAGGCATGTGCCACCACACCCGGCTAATTTTGTATTTTTAGTAGAGACAGGGTTTCACCATGCTGGTCAGGCTGGTCTTGAACTCCTGACCTCAGGTGATCCACCCGCCTCGGCCTCCCAAAATGCTGGGATTACCGGCTTGAGCCACTGTGCCCAGACTGGGTTTTTTTTTTGGTTGGTTTTTGTTTTTTTTTTTTGCATTTTTAGTAGAGACGGGGTATCCACCCGCCTTGGCTCTCAAAGTACTGGCATTACAGGCATGAGCCACCACGCCCGGCCACAAAAGAGCTTTGATGCACATGGTGATAGCCACATGGTGCCCCTGGAAGAACAAGGGGCCTGAAGTTAGTTAGACCCTCCTTGCTGGTTCTACCACAATTGCACGCCCCACCCCCTCCCTGAGCCCAAGTTCCTCACTCAGAAGCAATTTTGGTTGCTCTGAGGAGTGTATGGAAAGGCCTCCGTGGCCATTCCAGAGGCCACTGGGTCTGTTAAAGCCTCAGTGTGCAGGCACGTCCTCCAGGACAGGGGGAAAGGTGTGTGTTGGATGAGTTGAATATTGACAGAGACCACCTTGGCTGGTTGCAGTGGCTCACGCCTGTAATCCCAACACTTAGGGAGGCCAAGGCAGAAGGATTGCTTGAGCCCAGGAGTTCGAGTCCAGCCTTGGCAACATAGTGAGCCCCCCCGTCTCCACAATAAAATTAAAAATTAAGGCCAGGCACGGTGGCTCATGCCTGTAATCCCATCACTTTTGGAGGCTGAGGTGGGCAGATCACTTGAGGCCATGAGTTCGAGACCAGCCTGGCCAACATGGCAAAACCCCTTTCTGCTAAAAGTACAAAAATTAGCCAGGCATGCTGGTGTGTACCTGTAATCCCAGCTACTCAGAAGGCTGAGGCTGGAGAACCGCTTGAACTCAGGAGGCAGAGGTTGCAGTGAGCCAAGACTATGTCACTGTACTTCAGCCTGGGTGACAGAACAAGACTCCACCTCGGCCGGGCGCGGTGGCTCAAGCCTGTAATCCCAGCACTTTGGGAGGCCGAGACAGGCGGATCACAAGGTCAGGAGATTGAGACCATCCCGGCTAACACGGCGAAACCCCGTCTCTACTAAAAACACAAAAAATTAGCCAGGCGAGGTGGCGGCGCCTGTAGTCCCAGCTACTCGGGAGGCTGAGGCAGGAGAATGACGGGAACCCGGGAGGCGGAGCTTGCAGTGAGCTGAGATCTGGCCACTGCACTCCAGCCTGGGCGACAGAGCAAGACTCCGTCTCAAAAAAAAAAAAAAAAAAAAAAAGACTCCACCTCAAAAAAAAAAAAAGTAAAAATTAACCAGGTGTGGTGTTGTGCGCCTGTAGCCCGAGCTACACAGGAGGCTGAGGCAGGAAGATCACTTGAGCCCAGGAAGCGGAGTTTGCAGTGAGCCAAGATTGTACTAGTGCACTTCAGCCTGGACAACAGAGTGAGACCCTATGTCAAAAAAATATATATACCAAGGGCCATCTTGGCCAGGCACAGTGGCTCATGCCTGTAATCCCAGGACTTTGGGAGGCCAAGGCAGGCGGATCACCTAAGGTCAGAGTTTGAGACCAGCCTGGCCAACATAGTGAAACTCCGTCTCTAGTAAAAATACAAAAATTAGCTAGGTATGGTGGTGCGTACCTGTAATCTCAGCTACCTGGGAGGCTGAGACAGGAGAATCGCTTGACCCAGGAGGTGGAGGCTGCAATGAGCCGAGATCGTGCCACTGCACTCCAGCCGGGGCGACAGAGCAAGACTCCAGTGCAGGGCCTGCCGTGCTGGAGGTGAGCCACCCGCTCTGTGTCCATAGGCCATCACTGCCCGCGACTCCATGGCCAAGTCTCTGTACAGCGCCCTGTTCGACTGGATTGTGCTGCGGATCAACCACGCACTCCTCAACAAGAAGGACGTGGAAGAGGCAGTCTCGGTGAGTGCCCCCATTTCCTCCCTCAAGCTAGGTCAGGGGAGGCCACATCCTCACTACCAACATCCTTGGTGGGCAACCTAGAACATCCGGAGCCAAGGCATCTGTAGTCAAGAGGCTGTTTCCCCCAACAGGCAGGACCAGGAAACAGGACAGGCTACAAAATTCAGGCCCAGGGCAGAATGAAAACAGGGCCCCTTATTCAAAAACGACAGATTCTGACATGCACCTGTGGTCCCAGCTACTCAGGAGGCTGAGGCAGAAGGATTGCTTGAGCCCAGGAGGTCAAGGCTGCAGTGAGCTGTGGTGGCGCCACTGCACTCCAACCTGGGCAACAGAGCAAGACCCTGCCTCAAAAAAAAAAGTATGGATTCCATGCTGGTAATGGCAAAGTGTTCTGCCAAGCAGCGGGGACTCAGGACCTAATAGGTCACAGCCTGTAGAGCCAGCCCCTCTCATGAAGGCTGGCTCCCACGGGGGGCACCTGCGGGCAGTGACCATTTTCTCTGTCTCTCCCAGTGCCTGTCCATCGGGGTCCTGGACATCTTCGGATTTGAAGACTTCGAGAGGAACAGCTTCGAGCAGTTCTGTATCAACTACGCCAATGAGCAGCTACAGTATTACTTCAACCAGCACATCTTCAAGCTGGAGCAGGTGCGGAAAGGGCTTTTTTGTCAATTTTTTGAACTTGGTAAACCAGACATCACGTGAAATTTACCATCTTAACCATTTGTAAATATTCAGTTCAGCGGCGGTAAGTGCATTCACACATTCGCAGTTATGCAAACACCACCACCATATATCTCCAGAACTCTTTCATTTTGCCAAACTGAGACTCTGTCCCCATGAAATACTCATTCCCCATTCCCTCTCCTGCAAGCCCTGAACTCACCATTCCACTTTTTTTTTTTTTTTTTTTTGAGACAGGGTCTTGCTCTGTCACCCAGCTAGAGTGGTATAATCATAGCTTACTGCAGCCTCAAACTCCTAGGCTCAAGTGATCCTCCTTCCTCGGCCTCCCGAGTAGCTGAAACCACAGGTGTACACCACCATGCCTGGCTAATTTTTGTATTTTTTGTAGAGACAAGGTTTTGCCATGTTGCCTAGGCTAGTCTCGAACTCCTGAGCACAAGCAATCTGCCCACCTCGGTCTCCCAAAGTACTTGGGATTACAGTTGTGAGCCACCGTGCCTGGCCCATTCTACTTTGTGTCTCTGTCATTTTTTACTAAGTGCCTCATGTAAGCGAAATTAGACATTATTTGTGTTTTTGTGATCAGCTTATTTCACATAGTATAAAGTCCTCATGGGTCATCCACATGGTAGTATGTGTCAGAATTTCCTTCTTTTTCAAGGCTGAGTAATATTCCATTTTCTGGATGTACCACATTTTGTTCATCCATCCTTCAGTAGACACTTGGGTTGCTTCCAGCTTTTGGCTATTGTGCATAATGCTTTTTTGAACATGGGTGTGCAAATATCTCTTCAAGACACTGCTTTCAATTCTTTCGGGTATATACCCAGAAGTGGACTTGCTGGATCCTATGGTAATTCTGTTTTTAACTTTTTTGAAGAACCACCATACTGTTTTCCATAACAGCTGCAGCATTTTATAAGGAAATACCATGTTGTTGCACACCCAGCCCAAAGGGAAAATAGAATGAGCTAGAACTGGAATCTCCCTGGAGGCCCAGATCGTTGGTGAACTTGCTGCAGAATTTTTCTCAGTCAGAAGGAAAATTTAAGAAAACCCACCCAGCCTGGGATGAGGCAAATGTCAGGGATGTTTTGAGCCATAGTTCATTTGGGGGCTTCTCTGTCCAAACAGAAAATCTTTTTGATGAGAGAGAAACTGGGCTGCCTTTTAAGGATTTGCTTAGCTCAAAGACATTGATAACCTATCTGATGTGTCTTTTTTTTTTTTTTGAGATGGAGTCTGTCTCTTGTCGCCCAGGCTGGAGTGCAGTGGCACGATCTTGGCTCACTGCAACCTGTGCCTCCCTGGTTCAAGCAATTCTCCTGCCTCAGCCTCCCAAGTAGCTGGGACTACAGGCACGTGCCACCATGCCCGGCTAATTTTTTTGTGTTTTTAGTAGCGATGGGGTTTCACCCTGCTGGCCAGGCTGGTCTCAAACTCCTGATTTCGGGCGATCTGCCCACCTTGGCCTCCCAAAGTGCTGGGATTACAGGAGTGAGGCACCGCGCCCGGCCCTGACGTGTCTTTTCACAGCTAAATAGTCAACCATCCTTATTCATGTCTTCTCCTTCACATTGATGATTCCGATGGGAAAATGAAACTGGCAGGCTTATGTAAATATCCAGCTGATTTTTCTATTAAGCTTTTTGGCAGTGAATCATTAGGAGTGTAGCTGGTCAGAATTAAGTTGTGCAGGAAGGGTGACATACACACTAAATTGTGAAGACTTAGCGTGTGAGGAAAAAGAACATACACTGTCTCAGTAGCTCACTGCAGCCTTGAACACTGAGGTTTAGATGATCCTACCACCACAGCCTCCCGAGTAGCTGAGACTATAGTTGCACGCCACCACACCCAGCTAGTTTTTTGGTCTTATTTTTTGTAGAGACAGGGTCTTGCTATGTTGCCCAGGCTGGTCCTGAACTCCTGGCCTCAAGTGATCCTCCCACATTGGCCTCTCCGTCATTTTTTATGTCAATTACACGTTAACGTGATCACATTTTAGATATACGGGGTTAAATTAAGTGTATTATTAAAGTTAATTTTGAGCTATACACAGAGGCACATATCTGTAGCTACTGAGGAGGCTGAGGTGGGAGGATTACTTGAGCCCAGGAGGTCGAGGCCGCAACGAGCTACAGTTGTGCCACTGTACTCCAGCCTGGGTGACAGAACGAGACCCTGTCTCAAAAAAGAAAAAATTAATTTCACCTATTCTTTTACTTTTTACATGTGATTATTAGAAAATTTGAGGCTGGGCATCGTGGCTAATGCTAACAATACCAGTGCTTTGGGAAGCCAAAGTAAGAGGATTGCTTGAGGTCAGGAGTTCAAGGCTGCAGTGACCTATGGTCACACCACTGTACTCCATCCTGGGCAACAGAGCAAGACCCTGTGTCTTAAAAAAAAAATTGGGACAGAGTTTCTGCCAGAAATTTTTATTTTATTTTATTTTATTTTTTATTTATTTTATTTTTATTTTATTTAATTTTTTGAGATGGAGTCTCGTTCTGTCGCCCAGGCTGGAGTGCAGTGGCGCAAATTCGGCTCACTGCAAGCTCCGCCTCTTGGGTTCACGCCATTGTCCTGCCTCAGCCTCCTGAGTAGCTGGGACTACAGGCGCCCGCCACCACGCTCGGCTATTTTTTTTATTTTTAGTAGAGAGAGGGTTTCACTGCGTTAGCCAGGGTGGTCTCAATCTTCTGACCCTGTGATCCGCCCGCCTCGGCCTCCCAAAGTGCTGGGATTACAGGCATGAGCCACTGCGCCCAGCCAAAAAATTTTTTTTGTTAACCAGGCATAGTGGCACCTGCCTGTAGTCCTAGCTACTGGGGAGGCTGAGGCAGGTAGACCACTCAAACCCAGGAGTTTGAGGCTACCGTGAGCTATGATTGCACCACTGCTCTCCAGTGTAGGCAACACTGTGAGACCCTGTCTCTTAAAAGAAAAAAAGAAAATGTGAAGATTCCTGTTGGACAACATAGCTCTGGAGCAGGGGCCAGCAAACCACAGCCTATGGGTCAAATCTAGTCCCACAAATTGTCTTTATAAATAAAGGTTTATTGGCATTGGTTTACATTATCATCTGTGGCTGTTTTCACATCACAACTGTTAGTTGCAGCAGACAGTTTCTGGTTCATAAGGTGCTATCTGGCCCATTACAGAGAAAGTTTGCCAACCTCTAGATGGTTTAAAGTGTGATTTTTTTTTTCTTTCTTTTTTTTTTTTTTTTTATGAGACAGAGTCTTGCCCTGTCACCCAGGCTGGAGTGCAATGGTGCAATCTCAGTTCAATGCGATCTCCACCTCCCAGGTTCTAGCAATTCTCCTGCCTCAGCCTTTCCAGTAGCTGGAATCACAGGCATGCGCCACCACGCCTGGCTAATTTTTGTATTTTTAGTAGAGACAGGTTTTCACCATGTTGGCCAGGCTGGTCTTGAACTCCTGACCTCAGGTGATCTGCCCGCCTCAGCCTCTCAAAGTGCTGGGATTACAGACGTGAGCCACCACGCCCAGCCCTTAAGTGTGATATTTAAAGCACCAAGCTGTGGTGAGTATTTGAGAATGTGCATTCTTGTTTCCTGTTTACAATCATTCGTTTATCTAGTAAGTTTATATAACTATTAATGTATTCATATTGATGTACTCATATGCATTTTGTTATTGATATATTTATGTATATTTTTTTCACTTTTAAGTTCAGGGGCATATGTGCAGGTTTGTTATGTAGGTGAACTTGTGTCATGGGGGTTTGTTGCACAGATTATTTCATCATGCAGGTGTTAAGCCTAGTACCCATTAGTTGTTTTTCCTGATCCTCTCCCTCCTCCCACCCTTTACCTCCAATAGGCCCCAGTGTGTGTTATTCACCTCTGTGTGTCCATGTGTTCTCATGATTTGGTTCCCTCTTATAAACGAGAACATGCAATATTTGGTTTTCTGTTCCTGCGTTAGTGTGCTAAGGATAATGGCCTCCAGCTCCATCCATGTTCCTGCAAAGGACATGATCTCTTTCCTTTTTTATGGCTGGATAGTATTCCTTGATGTATATGCACCACATTTTCTCGATCCATTAATGGGCATTTAGGTTACTTCCATTTCTCTGCTATTATGCGTAGTGCTGCAAAGGATACATGCATGCAGATACATTTACATGTAAACATGCCTATTGATACACAAATACGTTCCTACAGCGTGGGGATCCCTTATCCAAACTGCTTGGGACCAGAAGTGTCTCAGGTTTGGGATTTTTTTCAGATTTTTCAATATTTGTATTATACTTACTGGTTGAACATCCCAAATCTGAAAACCCAAAATCTGAAATGCTTCAATGAGCATTGTATTTGAGCATCACATAACATTGGCAGTCCAAAAGTTTTGGATTCTTTTTTTTGGGGGGGGATGGAGTCTTGCTATATTGCCCAGGCTGTTCTCAAATTCCTGGGCTCAAGCCATCCTCCCGCCTCAGCCTCCCAAGTACCTAGGACTACTGGTATGTGCCACTACACCTAGCAATTTTTTTTTGTTTGTTTATTTTTTCTTTTTTTCTTTTTTTTTTGAGACGGAGTCTTGCTCAGTCGCCCAGGCTGGAGTACAGTGATGCGATCTCGGCTCACTGCAAGCTCCGCCTCCCGGGTTCACACCATTCTCCTGCCTCAGCCTCCCGAGTAGCTGGGACTACAGGCGCCCGCCACTACGCCCGGCTAGTTTTTTTTTTGTATTTTTTTTTTTTTTTTTTTTTTTTGAGACGGAGTCTTGCTCTGTCACCCAGGCTGGAGTGCAGTGGCCGGATCTCAGCTCACTGCAAGCTCCGCCTCCCGGGTTACGCCATTCTCCTGCTCAGCCTCCCGAGTAGCTGGGACTACAGGCACCCGCCACCTCGCCCGGCTATTTTTTTGTATTTTTTAGTAGAGACGGGGTTTCACCGTGTTAGCCGGGATCGTCTCTCGATCTCCTGACCTCGTGATCCGCCCATCTCGGCCTCCCAAAGTGCTGGGATTACAGGCTTGAGCCACCGCGCCCGGCCTTTTTTTTGTATTTTTAGTAGAGACGGGGTTTCACCATGTTAGCCAGGATGGTCTCGATCTCCTGACTTCGTGATCTGCCCATCTCGGCCTCCCAAAGTGTTGGGATTACAGGCGTGAGCCACCACGCCCGGCCTGTATTTTGTTTTTTTTTTTGCATAGACAGGATCTTGCTATGTTGTCCAGGCTGGTCTTGAGCTCGCGGCCTCAAGCGAAACTCCCACCTCAGCCTCTCAGTTACTTTTTATGTCAATTACATGTTAACATGGTCACATTTTGGATATATAGTATTAAATTAAGTGTATTATTAGAGCTTTTTTTTTTTTTTTTTTTTTTTTTTTTTTTTGAGACAGAGTTTTGCTCTTGTTGCCCAGGCTAGAGTAGGACCAATGGCACAATCTTGGCTCACTGCAACCTCCACCTCCCGGGTTCAAGTGATTCTCCTGCCTCAGCCTCCCTAGTAGCTGGGATTACAGGCATGTGCCACTGTGCCTGGCTAATTTTGTGTCTTTAGTAGACATGGGGTTTCACTCTGTTGGTCAAGCTGTTCTCAAACTCCTGACCTCAGGTGATCGACCCGCCTTGGCCTCCCAAAGTGCTGGGATTACAGGCGTGAGCCACCGTGCCCTGCCCTATTAGAGTTAATTGTAAGCCACGCATCAATTTAAAAAGCTTCCGATTTTGAAGCATTTCAGATTTTCGGATTAGGGATACTCGACCTGTACGCACTACATGTTATGTAGATATTACATATCTGGGAGATAAGAAACGTACTGACCCCACATCACCCCTGCAGGAGGAGTATCAGGGCGAGGGGATCACGTGGCACAACATCGGCTACACAGACAATGTCGGCTGCATCCATCTCATCAGCAAGAAGCCCACGGGCCTCTTCTACCTGCTGGACGAGGAGAGCAAGTGAGTGTCCACACCCCATCCCTCCCGGCACATCTACACATGGGCACTGGGTCAGGTTCTGCAGCCCCCAGAGCCTTACCCCAAATCCAGACTTTCCCAAAAACTCCTTTTTATTTTTGAGACAGGATCTCACTCTGTCACCCAGGCTGGAGTGTAGTGGTGCAATCATAGCTCACTGCAGCCTCGACCTCCTGGGCTCAAGTGATCCCCCGACGTGAGCCTCTCCAGTAGTTGCGACTACAGGGTCACACCACCATGCCCGGCTAATTTTTCTATTTCTTTGTAGCAACAGGGTTTCGTCACGTTGTCCAGGCTGGTCTCAAACTCTTGAGCTCAAGGGATCCTCCCGCCTCGGCATCCCAGAGTACTGGGATTACAGGCATGTGCCACCACACCAGGCCTTGTCCAGAGAACTTGTATCTGTTCAATTTCACTTGACCACAAAACCCAAGCTTGTGTGTGCAAAATGCACAAACACCTCACTGTGAAAACATCAACACATGTGATTAATTTGTACACTTGAGGCACATCCACCAGGAGTTTTCAGCAAAGGATTATGGGCCTGTGTCTAGAAAATAGAGATGGGGACCGGGCATGGTGGGGCATACCTGTGGCCCTAGCTACTCAGGAGGCTGAGGCAGGAGGATCCCTTGAGCCTAGGAGGTCGAGGCTGCAGTGAGCTGTGATCGTGTCACTGCACTCCAGCCTGAGCAATGGAGCAAGAGACAGGATTGGTAAGTTCTTGCAAAGGGCAGTACAGTGTGTGGAACTGGGACCCAGATGCTGCCGGGCTCTGAACTCACTTCTGAGCCTTCCACACTCATCCCCGCAGTCCACAGGGCACCGTGAAGGCAGACAGGGAGGTCAATAAGGCGCCTCATGCTGGGTCACCCAGTTGTAGTCACTGAAGTCACGTGACATGTACTGAACTACTTTCCTGTGGCTCCCCTAAGGAATCACTACAAGCCAGGTGGGCTCTTGAGTCCAGGAGTTTAAGACCAGCCTGGGCAACATAGAAAGAGTCCATCTTGGCCGGGCACAGTGGCTCACGCCTGTAATCCCAGCACTTTGAGAGGCCGAGGCAGGCAGATCACCTGAGGTCAGGAGTTGGGAGACCAGCCTGGCCAACATGGTGAAACCTCGTCTCTACTGAAAATACAAAAATTAGCCAGGCATGGTGGCGGATACCTGTAATCCCAGCTACTCGGGAGGCTGAGACAGGAGAATCACTTGAACCTGGGAGGCGGAGGTTGCAGTGAGCGGAGATCGCGCAACTGCACTCCAGCCTGGGTGACAGACCAAGACTCTGTCCCAAAAAAAAAAGATTCCATCTCTACAAAAAAATTTTTAACCAGCCTGTCCAACGTGGCAAAACCCCATCTCTACTAAAACTACAAAAATTAGCCAGGCATAGTGGCGGGTGCCTATAATTCCAGCTACTTGGGAGGCTGAGGCAGGAGAATCGTTTGAACCCAGGAGGTGGAGTTCTTAAAACCACAGGAATCTATTATCTTACGATTCTGGAAGCTGGAAGTCTAAAGTCAAAGTGTCAGCAGAGCTGTGCTGCCTCCAGAGGCTCCAAGGGAGGACCCTTCCTTGCCTCTTCCAGCTTCTGGGGGTCCAGGCTTTCCTTGGCTTTTGGCCACATCACTCCAGTCCCTGTCTCCCTCTTCACATGGACTTCTTCCCTCTGTGTCTCCATCTCTCATCTCTCAGTCCTGTCTCCTCCTTTTTTTTTTTTGAGACAGGCTCTTGCTCTGTTGCTCAGGCTGGAGTGCAGTGGCACAGCCTTGGTTCACTGCAGCCTCGACCTCTCAGGCTCCCATCCTCCTGCCTCAGTCTCTCAAGTGCCTGAGACTATAGGCATGCACCACCACACCCAGCTACGTTTTATTTTATTTTATTTTATTTTATTTTATTTTATATTTTTTGAGACAGAGTCTCTGTCACCCAGGCTGGAGGGTAGTGGCACCATCTTGGCTCAAGTTAATTGGCGTCATCTCAGCTCAGTATAACCCCCACCTCCCAGGATCAAGCGATTCTCGTGTCTCAGCCTCCTGAGTCGCTGAGATTACAGGTGCCTTGCCACCATGCCCAGCTAATTTTTGTATTTTTAGTAGAGATGGGGTTTTTTCACCATGTTGGCCAGGCTGGTTAAAAAATTTTTTGGTAGAGATGGAATCTCCGTATGTTGCCTGGCTAGTCTTGAACTCCTGGGCTCAAGCGATCCTCTCACCTTGACCTCCCAAAGTGCTGGCACCACAGGTGTGAGCCACTACACCTGACCCTGTCTCCTCTTTTTAGAAGGACACCATCCATGTGGAACTAGGTCCCACGCTGATGACCTCATCTTAACTAATTACACCTGCAAAGACCCTATTTTCCAAATAAGGTCACATTCAAAAGTCGGTGGAGGGGGTTAAGATATGGACATACTGTTTTATCAGCAACTCTATCAGACCCATCCCTTGCCAGTGACATCTCTAAGGGACTGGCCAGAGTCTCAAATGAATCAGGCACATCCCCTGCCTCAAACCTAGTCCCTGTCCAGGACAGGGGGACAGACACATCCCTTTCAGGCTGGGTTCCAGGTAGAGAATGTTCAGATAAGAGAAGAGCATTTGGGCCAGATGCAGTGGCTCCCACCTTTAATTCCAACACTTCAGGAGGCCAAGGTGGAGGATCACTTGAGACGAGGAGTTAAAGACTAGACTGGGCACCATAGTGAGACCCCATCTCTACAGAAAAATAATAAATAAACTAGCTGGGCACAGTGGCATGCACCTATAGTCCCAGCTACTCAGGAGGCTGAGGCAGGAGGATCACTTGAGCCCAGAGAGTCAAGACTACAGTGAGTTGTGATTGCACCAATGCATTCTAGCCTGGGCAACAGAGCAAGACCCCAACTCTAAAAATTTAAAAAAAAAAAAAGTAGAGACGGCAGTAGGAGGAGCTACATCATCACAACCAGGAAACTCCCAGGGCCAGATCAGGGGAAGCCCGTGAGGCAGGGCCTAGCCCAGCAGGCTCAGGTCTCTTTATTTAAAATCTTGCTATTTTTGCTCATCATGGAATTTTTGGTTTCTTTTTGCACATTGATTTAGATTTTCTGAAATAGTGTGCTAAAATATTACCTATCTCAATGACTGAGGGTTTTGGGGGACACTCAAGGCAGATGCCTCACACTCCATACCGTGTTTACGGTTCTGGAAATGATACTTTTCGTAGCTACAGATTTTCCCCTCCTTGGCCCCGTTAACACGGAGCCCCCGATGAAAATACAGGCATTCCGCTGCCTGTGTTTTCAAAAGTAGGGCCAGGCTCAGGCAGCGTTTGCCAAACCAACAACATCATTTCCCTCCTGGGAGGTAGAAGCAGTCAGGTACAAGGAGTCCTTTATTCTGCCCCCACAACCTCCCCCTCCCCGGAGCACAACAGAGCCCTGCTTCATCCTCCTCTCCCAGCCTCTCCTTCCAACTGTGGTGCAGGAGAAGGACCCCCTGTCCAACGTATGGCATTCAGGTACAAATGGCTCCAAGACCAGAAGTCACCCGGGCCCAGGATTATTCTTAGGAGCTGCCTACGATGGGTAACAGATCCAGACCTCCCACGGGACAGACTTTGCAGATGCCACCAAGCCTGGTCAGCGACCTCTCTCCAAGCCCCCTAGAAAACAGCCATGTGGGGACAAAGAGAGTGAGCCACCCAGACTCAGGCACTGAGCTACTCAATGTTAATTCTGCAACCCTGGCTGGGCACGGTGGCTCACGCCTGTAATCCTAGTCCTTTGGGAGGCTGAGGCAGGAGGATCGCTTGAGGCCAGGAGTTCAAGACCAGCCTGGGTAACATAGCAAGACCCCTTCTCTTAAAAAAAGAAAAACATTGCACTATAGTCCCAGCTACTCAGGAAGCTGAGGCAGGAAGATCCCTCAAGCCCAGGAAGTCAAGGCCACAGTGAGCTGTGATCGTACCACTACACTCCAGCCTGGGCAACAGAGTGAGACCCTGTCTCCAAAGGAAAAAATATGTTTTTGTTTTAAAAATCCTGAAGCCTTGAGAGCATCACTTCACCCTCAGCCTCCTTGTACCAGGCTGCGGCTGCGCCTGCTGACGCAGAGAGCAGAGTCCCAGCCCTCCGCCAGCGTGTTCAACATGAGGCAGGCAGGCGCACGCAGATAGCAGCGTCCCAGCCCTCCGCCGGCGTGTTTGGCATGAGGCAGGCAGGCTCACTGTCATTCCTTCTTTTCTTCGCTCCTTCACCCACCCCTCTGCTCACAGAGCCCTGTGCCAATTCACTGCTCTGCCCACCCCATGCACCCACCCACCTTGCGCACCAGGGGTCTGCAAGGTAAAATGCACAGCAGGTAAATCAGCCGCTGTTCATGCCTGCAAAGGTTCCGTGTTCTGTTCCCAGCTTCCCCCATGCCACGAGCCAGACCCTGCTGGCCAAGTTCAAACAGCAGCATGAGGACAATAAGTACTTCCTGGGCACCCCGGTCATGGAGCCAGCCTTCATCATCCAGCACTTCGCAGGGAAGGTGAAATATCAGATCAAGGTAGGTGTCTGCCCGTCACCGTTGGCGGAAGCCTGAGGGAAGCCATAGTCAGCCCAGAATTCCACGTGGGAGGATCCTCCTGTGGCCAAGGTTCTAGGGTGCTCAGAACCCACCGCGAATCCCCAGCTCCAATGCCCAAGACTCCATAGCTCAAGAACTGCCATTTGCACTTAGGATGGACCCCACCCCACCACCAGCCCTTCCTGCGCCAGCCCCGGGTCTTTGGTAGGCACTGGTAACTATCCCTGAGTGACCGCCCACATCCATCCCCCACCAGGACTTCCGGGAGAAGAACATGGACTACATGCGGCCAGACATCGTGGCCCTGCTGCGGGGCAGTGACAGCTCCTACGTGCGGGAGCTCATTGGCATGGACCCTGTGGCCGTGTTCCGCTGGGCCGTGCTCCGGGCCGCTATCCGGGCCATGGCTGTGCTTCGGGAGGCCGGACGCCTGCGGGCCGAGAGGGCTGAAAAGGCTGCAGGTGGGAGCTGGGGCGTGAGCCCACACAAGCGTCACTGTCGAGAGGGGGGGCACATCCTGAGTTCATCTTAAAGTGAACAGTTCATTGGCATTTAGTACATGCATTATGTTGTGCAAACGCCACCTGTCTACCTGCAGTGTTCCCATCACCCTGAACAGAAACTCGACCTGCGAGTGTAATTTAACCTCAGGGCATGCTCTCAGCAGCTCCATCCGGCCTCTCCTTTGCTAATGATGCCTCCTGATCCGCTGGCCCTGGGAGTTTGCTGATTGTGATAATGTAACTCTTCCTAGTGCCCTTCCTCTTCTTTCTCTCTCTCTCTCTCTCTCTCTCTCTTGCTCTTTTTTTGTTTTTTAAGAGACAGGGTCTCTCTCTCTTGCTTAGGCACTAGTGTAATGACGCAATCTTGGCTCACTGCAACCTCCGCCTCTCCGGTTCAAGTGATTCTCCTGCTTCAGCCTTCCAAGTAGCTGGGACTACAGGCGACCGCACCAGGCTAATTTTTGTGTTTTTAGTAGAGATGGGGTTTCGCCATGTTGGCCAGCCTGGTCTCGAACTCCTGACCTCAAGTGATGCGCCTGCCTCTGACTCATGAAGTGCTGGGATTACAGGTGTGAGCCACCGCGCCCAGCCTCAGCCTCTTCTCTTATCTGGACATTCTCTACCGGGAACCCAGCCTCAAAGGGACATTTCTGTTCCCCTGTCCTAGACAGAGATGGTTTGAAGCAGGAGGTGTGCCTGATCCACTGAAGACTTGGGTCAGCCCTATGGAGTTGCTGATAGAAGGATGGCAGAAAGCTATGTCCTCATTTTTCCCAAAGCAACCTGAGGCCTGCATGGTTGAGTGGCTCACCCGGGTCTAAGGGCTCCGACTTTCCGTCCTCAGCTTCAGTTTCAGTTATCAGCTGTGGCTTCTGTCTCCGGAAGGGGCTTGATGAAAAGGAGGAAGGATAAAGCTTTCGTGAGAAATAGGAAATAGACAGTGCTCTGTTTTGGGGATCCAAAACTTCACCGTTAACCCGACTTTGCCCACATTTGAGTGATGAGCTGCTTTTTGTGTGTGTGTGTGTGTGTGTGTGTGTGTGGAGACGGAGTCTCACTCTGTTGCCCAGGCTGGAGTGCAGTGGCGCAATCTTGGCTCACTGCAAGCTCCGCCTCCCGGGTTCATGCCGTTCTCCTGCCTCAGCCTCCAGAGTAGCTGGGACTACAGGCGCCTGCCACCACACCCGGCTAATTTTTTTTATTTTTAGTAGAGAAGGGGTTTCACTGTTTTAGCCAGGATGGTCTTGATCTCCTGACCTCGTGATCTGCCCGCCTCAGCCTCCCAAAGTGCTGGGATTTCAGGCGTGAGCCTGGCCGATGAGCTGCTTTTTAAGATTGGTCTACTAGACACAGTGGCTCACGCTTGAAATCCCAGCACTTTGGGAGGCTGATGCAGACGATCGCTTGAAATCAGGAGTTCAAGACCAGCCTGACCAACATGGTGAAACCCCATCTGTACTAAAAATGCAAATATTAGCCAGGCATAGTAGTGCATGCCTGTGGTCCCAGCTACCACAGGGAGGCTGAGGTAGGAGAATCGCTTGAACCCAGGAGGCGGAGGTTGTAGTGAGCCAAGATCATGCCAGTGCACTCCAGCCTGGATGACAGAGCAAGACTCCGTCTCAAAAAATAAATAAATAGGCTGGACGCGGTGGCTCACGCTGTAATCCCAGCACTTTTGCGAGGTGGGTAGACCACTAGGTCAGACGGTTGAGACCAGCCTGGCCAACATAGTGAAACCCGTCTCTACTAAAAATACAAAAAATTAGCCAGGCGTGATGGCAGGCGCCTGTAATCCCCGCTATTCAGGAGGCTGAGGCAGGAGAATCACTTAAACCTGGGAGGCGGAGGTCACAGTGAGCCAAGACCGTGCCACTGCACTCCAGCTCAGGCGACAGTGCAAGACTCTGTCTCAAAAAGTAAGTGAATAAATAAATAAATGAATAATAAGATGGGTCGAAGTGTCAGGGTACAATGGTACACACTGGTAGTCTTAGCACTTTAGGAGGCCAAGGCAGCTCACTTGAGGCCAGCTATTTGAGACCAGCCTGGGCCACATAGTGAGACCCCGTCTCTCCAGAAAAGTTGAAACTTCGTCATGTGTGTCAGCATGTGCCTCTAGCGCCAGCTACTTGGGAGGCTGAGGCAGGAGGATTGCTTGAGCCCAGGAGTTGGAGGTTACATGAGCTGTGATCGCACCACTGCACTCGGTCTAGGAAATGCAGCAAGACCCTGTCGGTAAACAATTAAAAAAAAAAAAAAAATGTGGGGGGGTGTCGCAGAGGCTCATGCCTATAATCCCAGGATTTTGGGAGGCCAAGGTGGGCAGATCACCTGAGGTCAGGAGTTCAAGACCAGCCTGGCCAACATGGCGAAACCCTGTCTCTACTGGAAATACAAAAATTAGCTGGGCACAGTGGCCTGTAGTCCTAGCTACTCAGGAGGCGGAGACAGGAGAATCACTTGAACTCAGGAGCCAGAAGTTGCAGTGGGCCAAGATCACGCCACTGTGCTCCAGACTGGGTAACAGAGCAAGACTCCATCTCAAATAAATAAATAAAATGGGTGAAAATAATTGCAGCCTCCACAGGAGGCCATCCCAACCACCGTCCACTCTGTGTCTCCAGCAGGTATGAGCAGCCCTGGTGCCCAAAGTCACCCGGAAGAGCTGCCAAGAGGAGCCAGCACCCCTTCAGAAAAACTTTACCGGTGAGCAAGACCCTAATTTGCCCATACTGAGATCATTAGGTGGCAGCAGCATTGTTCCAAACAACTTAGGGAATGCTACATTCTTTTTTTTTTTTTTTTTTTGAGACAGAGTTTCGCTCTTGTTGCCCAGGCTGGAGTACAATGGCACGATCTTGGCTCACTGCAACCTCCACCTCCCGGGTTCAAGTGATTCTCCTGCCTCAGCCTCCCTAGTAGCTGGGATTACAGGCATGTGCCACTGTGCCTGGCTAATTTTGTGTCTTTAGTAGACATGGGGTTTCACTCTGTTGGTCAAGCTGTTCTCAAACTCCTGACCTCAGCTGACCTCTTGTTTGTTTGTTTGTTTGTTTGTTTGTGAGACAGAGTCTTGCTCTGTTGCCCAGGCTGGAGTGCGGTGGCGCAATCTCTGATGACTGCAAGCTCTGCCTCCCAGATTCACGCCATTCTCCTGCCTCGGCCTCCCTAGTAGCTGTGACTACAGGCGCCTGCCACCACGCCCGGCTAATTTTTTTTTTTTTTTTTTTTTTGTATTTTTTTTTTTGGTAGAGACGAGGTTTCACCCTGTTGGCCAGGATGGTCTCGATCTCCTGACCTCGTGATCCACCCACCTCAGCCTCCCAAAGTGCTGTGATTACAGGCGTGAGCTACCACGCCCGGCCTAATTTTGTATTTTTAGTAGAGACGGGGTTTCTCCATGTTGGTCAGGCTGGTCTTGAACTCCTGACTTCAGGTGATCCACCTGCCTCGGCCTCCCAAAGTGCTGGGATTACAGGCGTGAGCCACTGGGGAATGCTACATTCTAAACCCAGGTCAGGGTTGCTCTGAGTAAGTCACTGAGCTGCCTTTTGAACCAGAAAGACCCAGAACCAAGTAGCATTTGGTGGCTGCTTTTCTGGACACAGAATAGCACGCCTTGGTACATCATGCGCTTTAGGGAGATGGGAGGAGACTCAGTTTACAAAGGATCCATTTTATGGCCTAGGGTGGGCACTGGGAGGTGAAGCCTAAGTATCGCTGGTGGTGCGGAGAGACGGGCTTGATTGATTGGAGAGTTCTTCCCTTGTCCTGCCTGGGGTGGCCCAAAAGTTGTTCTGCCAAGTTACTTCATTCACAGTCAGAAACACATACACTTTGATGTTGCACATGAGATGATGCGGGGTCTTTTGTGGACCCTAGCAATGACCCCAAGGGCCCTGCATGCACCCAAGCATGTGACAGCACCAGGGTAGAAAAGTGAGCAGGCTGGCTGGACATGATGGTGCACGCCTGTAATTCCAGCACTTTGGGAGGCCAAGGCGAGCAGATCACTTGAGGTCAGGCGTTCAAGACCAGCCTAGCCAACATGGTGAAACCTCGTCTCTACTAAAAATACAAAAATTAGCCGGGCATGGTGGCGGGCACCTGTAGTCCCGGCTACACGGGAGGCTGAGGCAGGAGAATTGCTTGAACGCGGGAGATGGAGGTTGCAGTGAGCCGAGATCGCACCACTGCACTCCAGCCTGGGTGACAGAGCAAGACTCTGTCTCAAAAAAAATAAATATATAAAAGTTTTAGGAATCACCTTTTTCACCCAAAATGGGACGCAAGAAAGGAGAATGCATTCCTCTATTATGTTTGTTTTTTTTTGGGGGGGGGTCCCCCAAGTTCCCAAGAGCTAGAAAGCTTCCTTCTATTTTGTTGTATGGGTTGCATTTTTGTTTTATTTTGTTTTGTTTTGTTTTTCTTGAGACCAGGCTGGAGTGCAGTAGTATAATCACAGCTCACTGCAGCCTCGACCTCCTGGACTCAAGCAATCCCCCCGCCTCAGCCTCCCAAGTAGCTGGGACAACAGGCACAGGCCCCCACGCCTGGCTAATTTTTCCTTTTATAAAGACAGAGTCTGATTATGTTGCTCAGGCTAGTCTCGAACTCCTGGCCTCAAGGCATCCTCCCACCTCAGCCTCCCAAAGTGATGGGATTATAGGCATGAGCCACCACACCCAGTCCTCGTTTGTTTTTTTTCCTTGCCTCCCTTACCTCAAAGACAAAGTAACTTCTGACCTGCGGTAGCAGAAGCAGCATCCATCTCCCCAGGGCCTGGCCACAGGGCTGCGGGTCCCACCCCAGGAGCATGTTAAGTTTATACAGATTCTCCCTTTCAGCTGTTCAATGCTAGATTTCTCATTTGACGGCTCTGAGGAGTTCGATATTAACGCTTTTGAGGACATCATTGCTTTATATGAAAGCAAGAAGTAAGTGCAGAAAGGGCCTTTGATCCCGAGGCCAGCAAGGCACCGAGGGGAGCCATCTTCCCCAGGCGCTCAGTGCTGCGTCCAGGGCACAGACAGAGAGGACTGGCCATTCAGGGAATGCCACGGCCCACAGGGGCCACTCCTGCCAGATTTGCAGATTTAGCCAGGTCGGCAGGGCTAGGGGTGGGCCAAAGTCATGGACATCATTCCAAGCCGTGGCCGCTGCACTGACCACCCTGGGTATGAAGGCCACTCGCATATAGAGGTGACAGGCGACCCCTCTGTTGCCTTTGCTCTGCCTCCCTGGAGGGCTGGGGAAAACAGGTAAGTGGGGCCATGTGGACACTTGGCATGGTGCATGGAGCACAGGGGCTGGGGTTGGGTCCTTCCAGGCCACCTGCCCAGAGCTAAAACATGTGCTTTGAACGACTGCCAGCAGGACGCGGTAGCACGCACCTGTAATCCCAGCACTTTGGGAGGCCAAGGCGGGAGGATCACTTGAGGCCAAGAGTTTGAAACCAGCTTGGACAACATAACAAGACCCCACCTCTACAAGAAAAAATAAATAAAATGTCTGGAGTAAGGAATTCAAAAAAAAAAAAACACACAGGAAAAACGAGATCCTCATTTCTAGAAGTTCTGTCAAAAACATTTGTAATTTAGACATTCCTCACTAATATTTAGTTTGAAAGCATCCAATTTTCATTTCTAAGGCATTCTAATTCACACACGTTATCAGTGCCAAAGTTTGCACCTCTAGCGTGCATGCTCAAGCCTAAGCCCACAGCCATCAAACAAAATGAAGCGAGTAAGGTTGAGTGCTTTGAGGGTAATTACCCCCTTAAACTAGGGTTTCTCTGGCCGGGTGCGGTCGCTCACCCCCTGTAATCCCAGCACTTGGGGGAGGCCTACGTGGGCAGGTCATTTGAGGTCGGCAGTTCAAGACCACCCTGGCCAACATGGTGAAACCCTGTGTCTACTAAAAATACAAAAATTAGCCAGGCGTGGTGTGCACCTGTAATCCTAGCTACTCGGGAGGCTGAGGCAGGAGAATCACTTGAACCTGGGAGGCAGGGTTTACAGTGAGCCGAGATCGCACCACTGCATTCCAGCCTGGGCAACATAGCAAGACTCTGTTAAAAAAAAAAAAAAAAACTAGGGTTTCTCAGCCTCAGCACTGTGCCAGATCATTCTCTGGGGTGACACCCATCCTGTGGACTATAGGGTGTTGAGCAGCATCCCTGGCCTCCACCCACCAGATGCCAGGAGAGCACCCCCACCCCCAAGTCATGACAACCACAAATGTCTGCAGACATTGGCAAATGTCCCCTGATGGAGATGGTACCACCCCAGTTGCTGTGCTCAACCTGTGGCTCTTGTATTCAAATTAATTCCTCCAAAGGCCTTAATGAAGCCAACAAGGAGTTTGACATCTGGCCACAAAATCATGGAGAGAGACTAATTTGCTCCTCCCACAGAGACCCTCCTTAGGGTCTTCTTTTCTGAGTTTCCCCAACTGCCTTTTTTTTTTTTTTTTTTTTTTTTTTTTTTTGAGACAGTCTCACTCTGTTACCCAGGCTGGAGTGCAGTGGCGCGATCTCGGCTCAGTGCAACCTCTGCCTCCCAGGTTCAAGCGATTGTCATGCGTCAGCCTCTGGAGTGACTGGGATTACAGGCATGCGCCATCATGCCTGGCTAATTTCTGTGTTTTTAGTAGAGACAGGGTTTCACCATGTTGGCCAGGCTGGTCTTGAACTCCCTACCTCAGGTGATCTGCCCCGCTCAGCCTCCGAAAGTGCTGGGATTACAGGTATGAGCCATGCCCAGCCTGTCATGGAATTTTAAAAATAAATAGGCTGGGCAGGGTGATGCATGTCTGTAATCCCAGCTACTCAGGAGGCTGAGACAGGAGAATCGCTTGAACCTGGAAAGTGGAGGTTGCAGTGAGCTGAGATCGCACCACTGCCCTCCAGCCTGGGCAAAAGAGTGAGACTCTGTCTCAATAAAATAAAATAAAAATAAATTTAAAACTAAATAAATATCCCCGGCTGGATGCAGTGGCTCACACCTGTTATCCCAGCACTTTGGAAGGCTGAGGTGGGTGGACCACAAGGTTAGGAGTTCAAGACCTCCCTGACCAACATGATGAAACCCCATTTCTACTAAAAATACAAAAATTAGCTGGGCATGGTGGTGCGCACCTGTAATCCTAACTATTTAGGAGGCTGAGGCAGGAGAATCACTTGAACCCAGGAGGTAGGGTTGCAGTGAGCTGAGATCACACCATTGCTCTCCAGCCTGGGAGAAAGAGCGAGACTCCGTCTCAACAAGTAAATAAATATCCCCAAAGCCTCTTAAATATGAGAACTTCCTCAGTGATCCAGATGAAAAGGATCCAATGAAGTGGAATGATCAGATGGAAATAATTTTTTTTTCTTTTTTTTTTAAAGACAGAGTATTGCTCTGTCTCCCAGGCTGGAGTGCAATGGCGCTATCTCAGCTCACTGCAACCTTTGCCTCCTGGGTTCAAGTAATTCTCCTGCCTCAGCCTCCCACGTAGCTGAGATTACAGGTGCCCTCCACCATGCCCCGCTAACTTTTTATATTTTTAGCAGAGACAGGGTTTCGCCATGTTGGCCAGGCTGGTCTCGAACTCCTGACCTCAGGTGATCCACCCATCTCAGCCTCACAAAGTGATGGGATTATAGGCGTGAGCCACAGCGCCCAGCTGGAAATGATATATTGAAAAGGATCAATGATCCGTGTGGCCAAGTCCAATTTGCCTCAAAGCCCTACCCCACTGCAGGTCTTGGGGAGGCTGACCCAGTCCCCATTTCTGGCAGAAGAGAGAGGGGCAGCATTGAGCTCAGTGTCTTTCCCCAGCTGCATGTTTTAGCTTCAGTGGCCTGGGGACGGTCCCAATGGCTCTGGGAACCCCAAGGTGGCAGGCATGCTTCTAACTCCATCTTCTTTCTGTCACTGCGCCCTCCCCACCCTCCCCTCAGCGATTTGCATAACCAAATGATCAAGAGCATCAAAGGATTGCCCTGGCAGGGCGAGGACCCCCGTAGGCTTCTCCAGTCCCTCAGTCGGCTCCAGAAACCCCGCGCCTTCATCCTGTGAGTCCCCCAGCAAGACCCTGCTTACAAGTGCAACAACCGCCTCCCCCTACTCCCACGACCCCGGCGGGGCCTGCAGTCTTCCTAATTTGCATCGGCCACTAAAACCACAATGCTGTCTGGTAGCTCACCCCCCAGCCATCACTAAATGCCAATCAATAACACCCCTGGCCGCTGTCTGCACTGTGGCCCAGGCACGGCCAGCTTCCCAACACACGGGGCAGCTTCCCAGGAGCGCTCCTTCCTCGAGGCATCTAATTTTCCACCCGCAAACGTGCCATCCTCCGTCTCCTCCCCGTGCCTGTCTGGCTTGCAGAGCAAAGCTTGCTCCCGCCTTTGCCACTGTGAGTTTGCAGAGAAGCCGTCTGCAGCAGGGCATGCAATTTCCTGAGGGGATGGCCCTGCTGTCTGCAGGTGGCCACATAAGCCAGTCGAGAGAGCCCAGAAGGTGCATAAACTGGGTTGGGATCCCAACCGTTAGCACACTGTGGGACCTGAGTATTCTATGCTTTCGGCCTCCAAATGGGGTAATGACTCTCATGCTTCCATTATGCTGACCCAGCACTAGGCAGGCAGCAGCCTCAGCTGACAGGACATCCACCTGCGGTCACCACATCCCACCTTTTAGTGGCCATTGGGGTGTGGGCTGGCTGAGAGCAAAGCTTGCACCTGCATGGGAGCCAATGGAAGCCAGTTTCTTTTTTTCTTTCTTTTTTTTTTTTTTTTTTTTTTTTTTTTGAGACGGAGTTTCACTCTTGTTGCCCAGGCTGGAGTGCAATGGGGTACGATCTCAGCGCACTGCACCCTCTGCCTCCCAGGTTCAAGCGATTCTCCCGCCTCAGCCTCCCAAGTACCTGGGATTACTGACACCTGCCACCACGCCTGGCTAACTTTTTGTATTTTTAGTAGAGACAGGGCTTCACCATGTTGGCCAGGCTGGTCTTGAACTCCTGACCTCAGGTGATCTGCCTGTCTCGTCCTTCCAAAGTGCTGGGATTACAGGCATGAGCCACCGTCCCTGGCCCTTTTTTTTTTTCTTTTTAAGAGATGGGGGTCTCATTCTGTTGCCCGGGCTAGAGTACAGCAGTGACACAATCACTACTCACGGCAGCTTCGACCTCCTGGGCTCAAGCAATTCTCCTGCCTCAACCTCCAGTGTAGCTGGAAATACAGGCGTGCATTACCACACCTGTCTAATTTTACTATTTGTAGAGGTGGAATCTTGCTATGTTATAGCCCAGGCTGCCAGGCTGGTCTCAAACTCCTGGGATCAAGCGATCCTCCTGCCTCAGCCTCCCAAAGCACTGGGATTACAGGCATGAGCCCCTGTACCCAGCAGGAGCCTGTTTCAAACTTTTGTTCCTTTTTTTTTTTTTTTTTTTTTTTTGAGGCAGAGTCTCACTGTCGCCCAGGCTGGCGTGTCGTGGCTCAATCTAGGCTCATTGCAACCTCCACCTCCCGGGTTCAAGCAATTCTCCTGCCTCAGCCTCCCAAGTAGCTGAGATTACAGGTGTGCACCACCACACCTGGCTAATTTTTTTGTGTTTTTAGTAGAGATGGGATTTCACCATGTTGGCCAGACTGGTCTCGAACTCCTGACCTCAAGTGATCCGCCCACCTCAGCCTCAAACTTTTGTTGTTGTTATGCCTTATTTTACCCCACAGGGATTCAGGTGAAACTGAATGCAACTGCGAACGGCTAGGCATCTCACAGATCTGCAAGCTATCATCTCCTTAGCCGGTCTTCAAAAGGCACCAGGCCTTTTGAATAAATAAATATATTTACTTATTTATTTATTTTCCCCTTGGTCTGCAAGATTTCATAAGGTGTCTGAGAACACAGGAGCTGCCCGCTTCCTTACCTCGGCCAAAAGAGCAGCTTTGGGTTTTGCGGGGAGTTTTGAGACAGAGTCTTGTTCTGTCACCCAGGCTGGAGTGCAGTGGCACAATCTCGGCTCACTGCAACCTCTGCCTCCTGGGTTCAAGCGATTCTCCTGCCTCAGCCTCTTGAGTAGCTGGGATTACAGGCAACCACCACCACGCCTGGCTAATTTTTGTATTTTTAGTAAAGACAGGGTTTCACCACGTTGGCCAGGCTGGTCTTGAACTCCTGACCTCAAGTGATCCACTTGCCTCAGCCCCCCAAAGTGCTGGGATTACAGGCGTGAGCCACCGCGCCTGGCCAGTTTTGGTTTTCTTCTTTCCCACCAGCATGATCCTGAAAGGAGCTCCCACCCAGGCCCCATTTTGGTTATTTTGCAAGGCAAGTCCCTGCCCTGCCGGCAGAGGGTTCCAGAAGGGCCTCTGGGCCTGCTTGGTGTCTACCAGCGCATGGCAAAGACAGCCTGGTCACCTGGTCTCCACCAGGACTGCTCAGGCTTCCTCTGCCCCATTTAGGGCATCCTGCCGTGATTTGGGGATATGTCAGTTCCTCCATAGCGAGCCCCTTTGGATGCACGTCCTACCCTGTAGCTTCCTAGCCAGCCCCTCCTACTTCTCAGACATCCGAATGGCCCCCAGACCGAATGCTTTTCTCAGCCTTGGGGCAGCCACCAGCAGAGTCCGGCTCCCGCCATCCCAGGGAAACTGGTGTCCACAGACAGTGGCTGAGGCACGCCTCGGTGTGCGGTGTGGAGAGGTGGCGGCGGCCTCGTTGCACTTGCGCCTTCTCGCTCTCTCCCATCTCTCTCTGTCTCAGTCTAACCCGCCAGGCGTGGCTTGCTGAACTAACCCAAATCCCGACGCTGTGTTCCTTTTGTTCACAAAACCATTTTTAATATTTTGACAGGAAAAGTAAAGGTATCAAACAAAAGCAGATCATTCCAAAGGTAAAAAAAAAACACACACCCCGCGCGACACATTCCAAGATATCTTGCTTCTCTGCCCGTCTTGAGAGCTTTCACTTCTGCAGCTTCATTACCTCCTTCTTCCCACTATCTCCCCCTCCCTCCAAGAAAAAAAATGTTCTTGTGTTGAGATGATTTGGAGCTGGCTCTTTATGGGTTTCCCAGAAGCACGGTCTGAGATGGGGATATTTGCACACACAGCGGCTTATGGAGGGGGGTTTACAGGAGAAAGCAGAGAGAAGGGGTGAGGGAGGAAGCCAGGGGCATAAGCGCAGCTGAAGTCTGGCCTCAGCCTGGTCCCACAGGGAGCTCTAGTGGGTTCATAGCACCATAGAGCTCATCCTGCCCCAAGGTAATGGGACCCTTCCGTTTAACAGCCCCATCTTCAGTCCCTGGCTACAGGGCCACTTCCAGATGGGACAGAGCACCTCCCAAGCGCTCTGTCTCGTTTCCACGTACAAGTGCAGCAATTTAGGAAATTGGCAAAAAGAGTAAGACTAGCCTTGCAGTCTAGTTAGCAGATGGGAGAGGGCTAATTCCTCTTGTCAGCTGATAGAACTGGCTGACACATGAGGGTGGCCTGTCCGATGAGCTCATGCGGATGGCACAAAAGAGACCTGGCCCTTCTTGCCTCAAGTAACGTAAACTGTAGGAGCTGTGCAGAGGAGAGGGTCGGCCAGGTTCAGTAGCACTGGCTTCCTCTCTAACCCAGAGGAAGGGGAAATGGGGCAGCCACTCAGGCGGTGAAAGAGGCTGCCATCAGCCCTGCCGGAACCAGCGCTGTGTGCAAAGTGTAGCCCACCTCATTCCACTGGGCCCTCTCCAACAGCGTGGTCCCAAGACCAAACCTAAGAGCTGCCGCCTGGGCACTCGCTGCGGGGACGCTGTTCTGCCCTGGCTCCGGGGACGCTGTGATGCCTTCCTGTGCCCGTGTGGGCTGTGGGAGGGCAGGCCGGACCCCATGTGTCTGTCCTAGAACCTGCTGGACTCCAAGTCCCTGAAACTCATCATCAGCATGACCCTGCACGACCGCACCACCAAGTCCCTGCTGCACCTGCACAAGAAGAAAAAGCCACCGAGCATCAGCGCCCAGTTCCAGGTGGGTGCAGCAGGAGAGGCGGGGGGCGGCGCCAAGCATCAGCACCCAGTTCCAGGTGGGTGCAGCAGGAGAGGCGGGGGGCGGCGCCAAGCATCAGCGCCCAGTTCCAGGTGGGTGCAGCAGGAGAGGCGGGGGGCGGCGCCAAGCATCAGCGCCCAGTTCCAGGTGGGTGCAGCAGGAGAGGCGGGAGGCGGTGCTCAGCTCAGCCTTACGCTTGTGTAGCTTCACCCGACACCGAGCACAGCCCGTCTCTACTAAAAATAAAGAAATTCGCCCGGCGCAGTGGCTCACACCTGTAATCCCAGCACTTTGGGAGGCCGAGGCGGGCGGATCACGAGGTCAGAAGATCGAGACCATCCTGGTTAACCCGGTGAAACCCCGTCTCTACTAAAAATACAAAAAAATTAGCTGGGCATGGTGGCGGGCACCTGTAGTCCCAGCTACTCGGGAGGCTGAGGCAGGAGAATGGTGTGAACCCGGGAGGTGGAGCTTGCAGTGAGCCAAGATCGCGCCACTGCACTCCAGCCTGGGCAACAGAGTGAGACTCCGTCTCAAAAAAAAATACAAAAATTAGCCAGGTATGGTGGGCACCTGTAATCTCAGCTCCTTGGGAGGCTGAGGCAGGAGAATTGCGTGAATCTGGGAGGCGGAGGTTGCAGTGAGCCAAGATCAGGCCATTGCGCTCCAGCCTGGGCAACAAGAGTGAGACTCTGTCTCAAAAAAAAAAAACAACACTACATCCATGGTCCCTTCAGAGGCTGACACATGTTTCAAATCTCCAGAAAGCGTTTGTCCGGTCCTCCCCAGCCCCAGCCTTCCACCTGAGGCAGAGACAAGCACTGGTGGCCCTGGGACCATGGGGACCACGTAGCTCCCTCGAGGGTTTCCAGGGATAGCGCAGGCTCGGGTCAGAACATCCAGCTGGAACCTCTTGTGTCCCACCACCAGGGACCCACATCTGTGCAGACCCCATCCACCGCACACTGATGCTAGAGCATCCCAGGTCTCCCACAGAACAGCGGCTGCCAGGGTCCCTAACTCAACCCAAATGCTCTCTCTTTCCCTTAACAGACATCCCTTAACAAGCTCTTGGAGGCGCTGGGGAAAGCAGAGCCCTTCTTTATCCGGTGCATCCGTTCCAATGCTGAAAAGGTGAGTTTCTCTAAGGTGTTTGGGAGGAGAAGGCCCATGCCAGACTCTTAGGGGTGTCGGTGTCCCTGCATCCAGCCCCAGCCTCCACGCAGTATGGGGGACAGTGCAGCAGTCCATCCAGAGGCAGCTGGGGATAGAGGGTTAGCAGTGAGGATGGCCCAAGTGGCCATTCAAGAGTAGGGACATCATCTGGAACATGGAGAGGCCCAGAGAAGGTTTGATTAGGGAGCGACAGGTCAGGGGTGCTCTTCAGATACATCCCAAAGAGTAGCCAGTGCAAGGAGTGTACCAAAAGGCAAGAGCTGAGGTTACATAGCAGAGTCTTAGAGGCACACACAGCCCACTGCTCACATTGCAAGTGTCTAGAGAGACCCTCGGAGCCCCAGTGGAAGCACCAGGGGGGGCTTCAGGCTCAGCACTGGCACAGGCTTCCTTTACCCCAGAGGTCCACTCCATCCCTGGGAGGACAGCTCGGGGACTTTACCAGGGACGGAGCAGGGGTGTGGGCTCCCAGACAAATGTGAGCACACAGCCAGGCAGGAACCTCCCACCAACTGTACCTGGGGAGATGCTCCGTCGTGCACCGTCTCTGCTCGTGGGCTGTGCCAGCAGATGGTTCTCTATGATAAGAGCCATTCTGTGCACTGGAGGGTGTCAGGCAGCATCCCTGGCCCCCACATCCACCCCCAGTCATGACAACCCTCCCCATTCTTTCCTGTTTGCCTTTTTTTGTTTGTTTGTTTGTTTTGTTTGTTTGTTTTTGAGACAGAATCTCTCTCTGTCTGTCACCCAGGCTGGAGTGCAGTGGTGCGATCTCGGCTCACTGCAGCCTCGACTTCCCAGGTTCAAGCCATCCTCCTGCCGCACCCTCCCACGTAGCTGGGATTACAGGTGCCCACCATGCTCAGCTAATTTTTGTGTTTTTAGTAGAGACGGGGTTTCACCATGTTGGCCAGGCTGGTCTTGAACTCCTGACTTCACGTGATCCACCCATCTCAGCCTCCCAAAGTGCTGGGATTACAAGCGTGAGCCACCGCGCCCAGCACCGTTTGTCTTTATAGCAACACCATGCCTTATCCCTCACTGCCCACCAGGGTGAAGTCCAGACCCCTGAGCTCCAGGCTTAAAGCCCACTGAGGCAGCCGCATTTCCAGCCTCTTCTCTCCCCTGGCAGGAAGCATCTCCCTGTGTCCCCATCAGCCCCTTGGCTTCTTCCTCCTCTCGGCCTCCACCCAGCTGCTCCCTGCCTGTTCTATCACCTGTGTGTGGCTCCTGCCCCCAGACCAAGCTCTCCTCTCCACCAAATCCCCAGCACTTACCCCGTGCCTGCCACAGAGAACAAGCCCAGGACACATTTGCATTTAGTTTTTTTTGTTTGTTTGTTTGTTTGTTTGTTTTAATAAATTTAAATGACTAGAGATGGGGTCTCACTATGTTGCCCAGGCTGGTCTCAAACTCCTGGCCTCAACTGATCCTCTCATCTTGGCCTCATTCCAGAAGGAGTGTCTGGAGCAAGGAAGGACCCCTTGTCCAGGCACTCCTGGCTGCTGTGCCATAGAACACTCCCAGGTCAGCTAGCCAGCACCCACATGTACATCCTGACCAAGTCTGTGTTAGGGATCCCAAGGGGCAGTGGTCACATGGCACAGTGCCCTAATCTCACAGTTCCCAGGCCTGAGCCACCGACAGGCTTGGGCATCCTGTCCGGTCAAGGCCACCTGCGTGATCTCTCACATTCTCATTTCAGAAAGAGCTGTGCTTTGACGACGAGCTGGTCCTGCAGCAGCTGCGCTACACCGGTATGCTGGAGACCGTGCGCATCCGGAGGTCAGGGTACAGTGCCAAGTACACATTCCAGGTAGGCCACAAGCACACGTACCTGGACACACCTGTTTCATGGCAAAGGCAATCGCCCTCTTCCAAAGAGAGCTCCTTGCTGGAACGTAAACCCAGCAGGTTAGCCAGTCGCCATGGCTCACGCCTGTAATCCCAACACCTTGGGAGGCCGAGGCGAGCAGATCACCTGAGGTCAGGAGTTTAAGACCAGCCTGACCAACGTGATGAAACCCCATCTGTACTAAAAATACAAAAATTAGCCGAGTGTGGCAGCAGCTGCCTGTACTCCTAACTACTGAGGCAGGAGGATCCCTTGAACCCAGCAGGCGGAGGTTGCAGTGAGCCGAGATTGAGCCACTGCACTCCAGCCTAGGCAACAGAGCAAGACTCCATCTCAAAAAAAAAAAAAGAAAGAAAGAAACCCCTGCCTCATGCCAAGAGCTGGTACCTGTGTCACCCTGAGCCCAAAGCCAGAGATGACAGCGCCTGGTTCCCTTTCATGCTTTCCCTTCATAGCCCCAGGGACTAGAATAATATAATGTGCCTCTTTTCTCATCCATTGACTAGAAATAATGCCTTTCTAACCCTATGCAGATAAGAAAGGCAAAATTATAAAAAATGCAGAAATGCTGGTGTGTTTTACCAATACTTGACCCTTAAATATTTGAAATAATACTTCACTAAAAAGAAATGTTCCGGGCAGGTGCAGTGGCACACGCCTGTAATCCCAACACTTTGGGAGGCCAAGGCAGGAGGATCACTTGAGCCTAGGAGTTTTGAGGCCAGCCTGGACAACCTAGAGAGACCCTGTCTCTGCAAAAAATTTAAAAATTAGCCAGGTGCAGTTGCTCATGCCTGTAATTCCAGCATTTTGGGAGGCCAAGGCGGGTGGATCACTTGAGATCAGGAGTTCGTTACCAGCCTGATTAACGTGGTGAAACCCCATCTCTACTAAAAATACAAAACAAAAAGCCAGGCACGGTGGGGCACACCTGTAATCCCAGCTACTTGGGAGGCTGAGGCAGGAGAATCTCTTGAACCCAGAAGTTGAAGGCTGCAGTAAGCCAAGATTGCACCATTGCACTGCAGCCTGGTCAACAAGAGCAAAACTCCGCCTCAAAAAATATATATATATTAGCCAGACAAGGTGTTGTGCACCTGTGGTCCCAGCTACTCAGGAGGCTAAGGTGAGAAGATCACTTGAACCCAAGGAGTTTGAGGCTACAGTGAGCTATGACTGAGCCAGTGCACTCCAGCCTGGATGGCAGAGCAAGACCCTGTCTCAAAAAAAACTAGAGGCCCAGTGCGGTGGCTCACTCCTGTAATTAGCACTTTGGGAGGGCAAGGCAGGCAGATTGCTTGAGCTCAGGAGCTCAAAATCAGTCCAGGCAACATGGTGAAACCCCATCTCCACACAAAAATACAGAAGCCAGGCGTGCTGGCATGCAGTGTACTTCCAGCTACTTGTGGGGCTGAGGCAGGAGGATTGCTTGAGTCTGGGAGGTCGACAGTGAGCCATGTTTGCACCACTGCACTCCAAACAGAGCGAGACTGTCTCAAAAAAAAAAAAAAAAACATGTTCCTCCAGCTATGATCTAACTCCCTCACAAGTCCTAGACTGTAAGCCCCATTGCAAGGGTGGCCCCGGTTCCCAGCCACCTCGACCATCTAAAAGACCTAGGACCTTGTGTCTGCAGTGGTCTTTCTTAAGATTACAGACTATTGACCAGGCATGGTGGCTTAGCCTGCAATCCTAGCACTTTGGGTCACATGACCCAGGCACCACTGCACCCCCGCTAAGAACCCATGTCTTTTTTCTTTTTTTATTTTTAGGCAGAGCCTCACTCTGTCGCCCAGGCTGGAGTGCAGTGGCGTCTCGGCTCCCTGCAACTTCTGCCTCCCATGTTCAAGTGATTATCCTGCCTCCACCTCCCCAGTACATGGGACTACAGGCGCCTGCCACCATGCCTGGCTAATTTTTGGTAGATGCAGGGTTTTGTCATGTTGGCTAGGCTGGTCTAATAGGTTGAGCTCAGGAGTTTGAGACAAGCCTGGGCAACATGGTGAAACCCTGTCCCTACAAAAAAATTTTTTTTTTTTTTTTTTTTTTTGAGACAGAGTCTCGCTCTGTTGCCCAGGCTGGAGTGCGGTGGCCGGATCTCGGCTCACTGCAAGCTCCGCCTCCCGGGTTCACGCCATTCTCCTGCCTCAGCCTCCCGAGTAGCTGGGACTACAGGTGCCCGCCACCTCGCCCGGCTAGTTTTTTGTATTTTTTAGTAGAGACGGGGTTCACCGGGTTAGCCAGGATGGTCTCGATCTCCTGACCTCGTGATCCACCCATCTCGGCCTCCCAAAGTGCTGGGATTACAGGCTTGAGCCACCGCGCCTGGCCCAAAATTTTTTTTTTAATTAGCTGGGCGTGGTGGCTACAGGACTAAGTACCTGTACTCCCAGCTTCCGGGGAGACTGAGGCAGGAGGATTGCAATGACGTGATCTTGGCTCACTGCAACCTCCAGCTTCCCAGGTTCAGATGATTCTCCTGCCTCAGCCTCCCAAGTAGCTGGGACTACAGGTGTGTGCCACCATGCTCAGCTAAGTAGAGATGGGGTTTCACCATGTTGGCCAGGCTGGTCTCGAACTCCTGACCTCAGGTGATCCACCCGCCTCGGCCTCCCAAAGTGCTGAGATTATAGGTGTGAGCCACCATGTCCAGCCCAGACTATTTCTGAAAGCCTGAAATTTCAGATTTGTCATTACCATTCCCATCAAGCCCAATTTCACCTTAACCGGGGTCACCAGATCCCCGTCTCCTCATCACTGGCCACAACACTCACCCAGATTCTCCTGTCTCTGCCCAAATAATGTAGGATTTCACCGAGCAGTTCCAGGTGCTCCTGCCCAAGGATGCCCAGCCCTGCAGGGAGGTCATCTCGACCCTCCTGGAGAAGATGAAGGTAGACAAGAGGAACTACCAGATCGGGAAGACCAAGGTCAGTGCTCCTGCCCCTCGGGGCACTGCAAACCCACACCCTGCCTTCCACCGCACACCGTGTCTTCCAGGCCCCCAGGGCCACTCTCTGAAACATACAGGGCTCTGTCTAGGAAATGCATTTCTAGGGACCAGCAGAATACTGCACCTAAGGGATAGGGGCCGCCCTGGCTGAGCCCACCTGCTGCTCTTCAGCGGGGCTCAGAGACTCCCTCTGCATCACCTGTTTATTGCTGCGTCACAGTAGGAAAGGGACGATCATGCTAACTGGCAGGATTTAGGAGCTGGTCCATCCCCTTTACAGTATCAGGTGGGAGGCGGCCTGCAATTGTCGTCCCTTTCAGAGATCGTCTCCATCTCTGGGCATGTGTTTGCCTCTTGCTGTGGGGGCATTATTCAGCCACCCTTGTTTAACCAAGTGCCAAGGTCAGTCCCCCAAAGGCCTCACCCGGTTGTAAAAAAATTCCCTTCCAGCCAAGCGAGGTAGCACGCGCCCAGAGTCCCAGCTACTTGAAAGCCTGAGGTGGGAGGATCCCTTGAGCCCAGGAGTGTCAGACTAGCCTGGGAAACATAGCGGGACCTCGTCTTTATACAGTATTTAAAAATTAGCCCAAGCATGATGGCATGCACCTGTGGTCCCAACTGCTTGGCAGGCTGTGGCAGGAGTTTGAGACTGCAGTGAGCTGTGATTGCACCACTGCACTTCAGCCTGGGTGACCAAGCGAGACCTCATTTCTTTTTCTTTCTTGTTTTTATTTTGAGACAGAGTCTCACTCTGTCACCCAGACTGGTGGTGCGATCTCAGCTCAATGCAACCTCCACTCCCAGGTTCAAAGTGATTCTCTGCCTCAGCCTCCGTGCAGCTGGGAATTACAGGTGCCCGCCACCACGTCTGACTAATTTTTATATTTTCAGTAGAGACAGAGTTTCATTACAGGCACACACCTGTAGTCCCAGCGGACTCAGGAGGCTGAGGCAGGAGAATCGCTTGAACCCGGGAGGCAGAGGTTGTTAGTGAGCTGAGATCGCACCACTGCACTCTAGCCTGTGAGACTCCATCTCAAAAAAAAAAAACAGAGCCACACCTAGGTGCAATAGCTCATGCCTGTAATCCCAGCATTTTTGGGGAGGCCAGGAGGTGGGCAGATCAATTGAGGTTGGGAGCTCGAGACCAGCCTGGCCAACATGGTGAAACCCTGTCTCTACTAAAAATACAAAAATTAGCCAGGCCTGGTGATGGGCACCTGTAGTCTCAGCTACTCAGGAGGCTGAGGCAGGAGAATCACCTGAACCCAGTAGGCAGAGGTTGCAGTGAGCCGAGAGGGCGCCACTGCACTCCAGCCTGGGCGACAGAGTGAGACTCCATCTCAAAAAAATAATAATAAATAAATAAATAAATAAATAAAGCCCTGGTTGGTCAGCACAGCAGCCTGGGTCTCACTCTGGAGTGGGCTATGCAGACCTCCCAGGCACAGAGGTGGTGTCAGGGGCAGCGCGGCTGACCCCACCTGACCCCGTGCCCACCAGGTCTTCCTGAAGGAGACGGAGCGGCAAGCCCTACAGGAGACGCTACACCGGGAGGTGGTGCGGAAAATCCTGCTGCTGCAGAGCTGGTTTCGGATGGTGCTGGAGCGTCGGCACTTCCTGCAGATGAAGCGGGCCGCCGTCACCATCCAGGCCTGCTGGCGGTCCTACCGGGTCCGGAGGGCTCTGGAGAGGACGCAGGCCGCGGTGTACCTCCAGGCCGCATGGAGGGGCTACTGGCAGCGGAAGCTCTACCGGCGCCGGAAACAGAGCATCATCCGCCTGCAGAGCCTCTGCCGGGGGCACCTGCAGCGCAAGAGGTGAGCAGAGCCAGGCCACGCTCCCCAGAATATTCCAGAAGCCAAAAGGGTCACTCACCAAATTGCTGCCCATGATATACCATCTGGCCTGTGGCACTAAGGGGATGTCATTCTGGACACAGGGAAGGGTTGGTGGGAAACTAGATGCCTGGACACACATGGGCTACAGAGAGGGGCTCTGAGGCTGGCAGGCAGCACTCAGGGACAAAGCTCTGCTTTGCCATTGGCTGCACCCATTCTCTGCCCAGGGACTCCCCTGTACCTGGATCGGTCAGGGAGCACCTGGATTCAGGGTTGGAGGGAGCGCCTGGACCAGCCCAACACTCAACATGGAGCTGGGGCATCCACCAGGCACAGAGAACCCCCCAGCAAGATATCAGCAACTCCCGTCCCGGCACCCACAGCTACAAGCCCAGCCCCTCCCTGACCTAGGCACCCTGTGCACCTCTCCCCTGCCACACAGACCCAGCTCTGCCACAGGTCACATCCCAGCTCCCAGAGCAGGCCCTACCCACATGTGCAAATAAGCCTCCTAGGCCAGGTGCAATGGCTCATGCCTGTAATCCCAACACTTTGGGAGGCTTAGGTGGGAGGATCACTTGAGCCCAGGAGTATGAGACCAGCCTGGCCAACATAGCAAGATGCCATCTCTACACAAAATTAAAAAGTTAGCTAGGTGTGGTGATGCACACCTGTAGCCCCAGCTATTCAGGAAGCTGAGGCAGGAGGATCACCTGGGTCTGGGATGTGGTGGCTGCAGTGAGCTATGATCACACCACTGCACTCCAGCCTGAGTGACAGAGTCAGACACTGTCTCTAAAAACCAAAAAGGTTGGGCGTATTGGCTCACACCTGTAAGGCCAGCACTTTGGAAGGCCAAGGCAGGCAGATCACATGAGTTTGAGACCAGCCTGGCCAACATGGCAAAACCTCATCTCTACTAAAAATACAAAAATTCGCCGGGCGTGGTGGTGTATGTCTATAATCTCAGTTACTGGGGAGGCCGAGGCACAAGAATCACTTGAACCTGGGAGGCAGAGGTCGCAGCGAGCCAAGATAGTGCCACTGCATTCCAGCCTGGATGACAGAGTGAGACTTTGTCTCAAAAATAAAATAAAATAAATAAAAATAAAAACAAAACAAAAAGCCTCCTAGAAAAAGACTCAAGGGAAAGCCCACAGTGGACCCCAAACGAGTTTGAGGCTTCTTAACAGAACCCACCCACCACAGCCCCAACAAGGGTCCTCTCCCCTAACAAGGCAGCCAGGCAGACACAGGGCAGGAGTATCTGTGACACTGAGGGGGCACCACCCTCAGCCTCCTTTCCTGATCGAGGAGATTCCTGCTTTCCAGAAACATCTCTCAGGGCCACTAGGCACAGGCGAAGCCCCGTCTGCAGCCCACAGGCTGGGGGTCCCATCGGAACTCAGTGGGAGGTGGAAGGAAGGTTTGTTTCTGAACCAGCTGTCTGCTTTTTCCTCACTCCAGCTTCAGCCAGATGATCTTGGAGAAGCAGAAGGCAGAGGAGAAGGAGAGGGAAGCCCTGGAAGCCGAAAGAGCAGGCGCTGAGGAGGGCGGGCTGGGTCAGGCGGCCGGCGGGCAGCAGGTAGCTGAGCAGGGGCCAGAGCCGGCAGAGGATGGCAGGCACCTGGCATCAGAGCCTGAGGTGTGGCCAAGTGACAGGTCCCCGCCAGAGCACTCCTCACCTGAGAAGGAGGCCCTGAGCCCGGAGAAGACTCTCCCGCCCCAGAAAACCGTGGCCACTGAAAGTCACGAGAAAGTCCCCAGCAGCCGGGAGAAGCGTGAGTCGCGTCGGCAAAGAGGGCTGGAGCACGTCAAGTTCCAGAACAAACACATTCAGTCCTGCAAGGAGGAGAGCGCCCTCAGAGAAACTTCCAGAAGGGTCACCCAGGAGCAAGGGGTGAGTCTCCTGGAAGACAAAAAGGAGAGCAGAGAAGATGAAACCCTTCTAATCGTAGAGACGGAGGCTGAGAACACGTCCCAAAAGCAGCCCACAGAGCAACCCGAGGCCATGGCAGTTGGCAAGGTCTCTGAAGAACCGAGAAGACGCTGCCGGCTGGGAGCCCAGGCCCAGCCAGGTGGAGCGACCGACCAGCCTGGCCTTGGACAGCAGGATCAGCCCACCAGCCCCCGGCAGCACCCCCGAGACCCCCGAGGACAAGAGCAAACCTTGTGGCAGCCCAAGGGTTCAGGAAAAGCCCGACAGCCCCGGAGGCTCCACACAGATCCAGCGGTACCTGGACTCCGAGCGGCTGGCCAGCGCCGTGGAGCTGTGGCGGGGCAAAAAGCTGGTGGCCGCTGCCAGCCCTAGTGCCATGCTCAGCCAGTCCCTGGACCTCAGCGACAGACACCGGGCCACAGGGGCCGCCCTCACGCCCACAGAGTAAGCCCCACACCCTCTTCTGTCTGAGCACCAGGGTCCAGACCAGGTGGGCAAGGCCAGGGGCAGTACCACACATCCTGGAAACACGTGTGTGATCATGCCCAGTGGGTGTGCGGGAGCCCTGAGGGAGGAGGACAGGCAGGGCATGCTAAAGGCCAAGTGAAAACAAGGCACCCAGCCAGGGCCCAGGCTGGGACCCGGAGCCTTGAGGGGTCCCCAGAAGGAGCTGTGCTCATATAGAAAGGTCCTGGCCTTGAGGGAGGTGGCTCCTCAGGTCAAGGTCCCTGCTCCCCAGCAATCTTGGGCCTTGGTTTCTAATTGGTGAACAGGACTAACTATACTCCTTGGGGTTAAAAGAGCAGGGGCTCGCTCTGCCTGAGCCTTAGTAAGCCAAGTGTCGGTGACTTGGAATCTCCAGCTCCCTCTTCCAGAGGGCCTGCAGGACCAAAGGAAAGCAGTCAGGCAGGAGACAGGCCTTCCCTGCAGCAGGCCTGCTCAGCCTCCCACTGCTTGTATTGGGGGCCGGATCATTCTCTGCAGTGGGGCTGTCCTGTGTATCATAGGATGTTGAGCAGCATCCCTGGCCTCCACTTACCACGTGCCAGGAGTATCATAAATAGATGATGGATGGAGTGAGGGAGAGAGAAAGGGAAGGATGTGTGGATGGGTGGGTGAGTGGATGGATGGATGGATGGATAATAGAGATGATGGAGGGATGGATGGAAGGAAGATAGAGATGATGGAGGGATGGATGGATGGAAAATGGATAGAGGCGATGGAAGACAGATACAGATGATGGATGAAGGATAGATAGATAGAAAACAGGTAGTAATGATGGATAGAGGCATGGATGGATAGATGGATGGATGGTACAGATGATGGATGGATAGAAGATGGGTAGAGATTAGGCTGGGCGCAATGGCTCACGCCTGTAATCCCAGCACTTTGGGAGGCCGAGAGTTTGAGAGGAGTTCGAGACCAGCCTGGCCAACATGATGAAACTCTGTCTCTACTAAAAATACAAAAATTAGCTGGGCGTGGTGGCACATGCCTGTAATCCCAGCTACTCGGGAGGCTGAGACAGGAGAATCGCTTAAACCTGGGAAGCGGAGGTTGCAGTGAGCTGAGATCAAGCCACTGCACTCCAACCTGTGTGACGGAGATGAGACTCCATCTGAAAAAAAAAAAGATGGGTAGAGATTATGGATGGAAGGAAGATAGGTAGAGACGATGAATGGAGGGACGGAAGATAGGTAGAGATGATGGATGGATGGACAGACAGAAGGATGGGTAGATGGCTAGAAGATAGAGAGCTGATGGATGGAGGGATGGAGAGAAGATAGGTAGACATTATGGATGGAAGATAGAGATGATGGAGGAACGGATGGGTAGAAGATAAGTAGAGCCGGGTGTGGTGGCTCACACCTAGAATCCCAGGCTGAGCCGGATGGATCACCTGAGGTCAGGAGTTTGAGACCAGCCTGGCCAACGTGGCAAAACCCCGTCTCTACTAAAAATACAAAAATTAGCCGGACGTGTTGGCGCATGCCTGTAATCCAGCTACTCGCGAGGCTGAGGCAGGAGAATCACTTGAACTTGGGAGGCGGAGGTTGCAGTGAGCCGAGATCACGCCATTGCACTCCAACCTGAGCAAACAAGAGCAAAACTCCATCTAAAAAAATAAAAATAAATAAAGATAGGTAGAGATAATAGATGAAGAGATAGATGGAAGACAGATAAAGAGGATGGATGGGTGGAAGGTAGAGACAATGAGTAGAAGGATGGATGGATAGATAATTAGTAGAAGGATGGATAGATAGACAAGTAGTAGAAGGATGGACGGATGGATAGATAGACAATTAGTAGAAGGATGGACGGATGGATAGATAGACAATGAGTAGAAGGATAGATGGATGGATGGATAGATAGATTAGATAGACAATTAGTAGAAGGATGGATGGATGGATGGATAGATAATGAGTAGAAGGATGGATGGATAGATAGATAGATAGATAGATAGATAGATAGGCAGGCAGGCAGACAGGCTCTCTTGGGCTAAGGCAAGGTTTCCTACCCTTCACACTCAACATCTGGGGCTGGACCACTCTGGAGTGGAGACCATTCTCTGTAGGGTATGAGTAGCATCCCTGCCCTCTACTCACCAGATGCCAGAAGTACCCACCCACTCCTTTCCCCCCACCTCAGTGGTGACAACCAAACTCTCTAGACATTGCCAAGTGTCCCCTGGCAGGGTCACAACTGCCCAAGTGAGAACCTAAGAACCACTGAGACAAGAGAATGCCACTGACTCGCTCTAGTCAGTAAAAGCCATGTTTCTGTGATCTCGCAGGGAGAGGCGCATCTCCTTCTCCACGAGCGATGTCTCCAAGCTCCTCCCATCCCCGGCCAAGGCTCAGGTAACAACAACATGGCGAACCCCATCTCTACTAAAAATACACAAAAATAGCCAGGTGTGGTGGCGCGTGCCTGTAACCCCAGCTACTCTGGAGGCTGAGGCAAGAGAATCGCTCGAACCCGATGGCAGAGCGGAGGTTGTAGTGAGCTGAGACCAAGCCACTGCACTCCAGCCTGGGCAGCAGAGTGAGACTCCGTCTCAAAGAAAAAAAAAAAAAAGCGGGAAGTGAGGTGGGTGGATGGAGTGTAAATGCCTGCAGGGGCTTCACCATCTAGTACAGGCCTGCCAGCCTTTCCTTAGCAGCCCTCCCCGCACCATCTTGCAGCCTGCAACAGAAACCACAGACGGAGAGCGAAGCACAAAGAAGCCGGCTGTCCAGAAGAAGAAGTCAGGTGACGCATCCTCCATCCCAGACGCAGGGCTGTCCCCGGGCTCTCAGGTCGACTCTAAGTAAGTATGGGGCTTGCGGGGAACTCAGGCCACCAGAGGATGCCCGGGGTCCCTGCCAGGGCCTCGCAGCATTGTGGCCTCCTAAACCAATCATACTTACAAAGCACGTTCGCGAAGGCATTTGCTCAGTAGAAACTGCATGAGGCAGCCAGGCGTGGTGGCTCACGCCTGTAATCCCAGCAGTTTGAGAGGCCGAGACGGATGGATCACTTGAGGTCAGGAGTTGGAGACCAGCCAGGCCAACATGGTGAAACCCCATCTGTACTAAAATACAAAAATTAGTTGGGCATGATTGCACACACCTATAATCCCAGCCACTCGGAAGGCTGAGGCAGGAGAATCGCTTGAACTCGGGAGGTGGAGGTTGCAGTGAGCCGAGATCACACCACTGCACTCCAGCCTGGGTGACGGAGGAAGACTCCATCTCAAAAAAAAAAAGCTGGCCAGGCGTGGTGGCTCAAGCCTGTAATCCCAGCACTTTGGGAGGCCGAGACGGGCGGATCACGAGGTCAGGAGATCGAGACCATCCTGGCTAACACGGTGAAACCCCGTCTCTACTAAAAAAAATACAAAAAACTAGCCGGGTGAGGTGGCGGGCGCCTGTAGTCCCAGCTACTCGGGAGGCTGAGGCAGGAGAATGGTGTGAACCCAGGGAGGCGGAGCTTGCAGTGAGCTGAGATCCGGCCACTGCACTCCAGCCTGGGCGACAGAGCGAGACTCCGTCTCAAAAAAAAAAAAAAAAAGGCCGGGCGCGGTGGCTCAAGCCTGTAATCCCAGCACTTTGGGAGGCCGAGACGGCGGATCACGAGGTCAGGAGATCGAGACCATCCTGGCTAACACGGTGAAACCCCGTCTCTACTAAAAAAATACAAAAAACTAGCCAGACGATGTGGCGGGCGCCTGTAGTCCCAGCTACTCGGGAGGCTGAGGCAGGAGAATGGCGTGAACCCCAGAGGCGGAGCTTGCAGGGAGCTGAGATCCGGCCACTGCACTCCAGCCTGGGCAACAGAGCGAGACTCCGTCTCAAAAAAAAAAAAAAAAAAAAAAGCCTCTAGGGCAGAATCCTTCCGCCTCTTCTGGTTTTTGGGGGCTCCAGGTGTTCCTTGACTTATGGCTATATTACTCTAATCTCTGTCTCTATCAGCACTTGGCCTTCCCCTCTGTGTCTATCTTCTGTCGTCTGTCCCTTAAAGGACACATGACTGGATGGATGCCGTGGGTCATACCGGTAATCCCAACACTTTGGGAGGCCAAGGTGGGATGATCACTTGAAGCCAGGAGTTCAAGACCACCTGGGCAGTGTGGCAAACCTTGTCTCTATAAAAAAAATGTCAAAACATAGCCAGGCAGGACGGTGCATGCCTGTAGTCCCAGCTACTCCGGAGGCTGAAACAGGAGGATCCCTTGAGGCCAAGAGTTCAAGGCTGCAGTGAACTGTGATCATACCACTACACTCCAGCCTGAGCAAGAGAATGAGACTCTGTCTCTAAAAAAACTTTTTCTAACTTAAAAGATAATGAGCTGGCCAGGCGCGGTGGCTCACACCTGTAATCCTAGCACTTTGGTAGGCCGAGGCGGGCGGATCACGAGATCAGGAGATCGAGACCATCCTGGCTAACACGGTGAAACCCCGTCTCTACTAAAAATACAAAAAAATTAGCCAGGCGTGGTGGTGCGCGCCTGTAGTCCCAGCTACTCGGAGGCTGAGGCATGAGAATGGCGGGAACCCGGGAGGCAGAGCTTGCAGTAAGCAGAGATCGCACCACTGCACTCCAGCCTGGGCGACAAAGCGAGACTCCGTCTCAAAAAAAAAAAAAAAGATAATGAGCTAGGCGCATGGCTCGTACCTATAATCCCAACAACTCAGGAGGTTGAAGTGGGAGGATTGTGCTCATGAGGCCAGGAGTTTGAGGCTGTAGTCAGCTACGATCACACCACTGCACTCCACACTGTGTGACAGAGTGACACCCCAACTGGAACAAAAAAGAAAAGAAAATGGAGTCCCCCTGTGGCTTCTGTTTGGTATCCTTCTTTCTTCACGTAACTCCTCTGCCAGTACAAAGAAAGGGCTATTGCTCTTTATAAGATGATCCTTTTTTTTTTTTTTTTTTTTTTGAAACAATCTCACTGTGTTGCCCAGTCTGGCAGTCTGGAGTGCAATGACATGATCTCAGCTCACTGCAACCTCCACCTCTCAGACTCAAGCGATTCTCCTGCCTCAGCCTCCCAAGTAGCTGGGATTACGTGTGTGCACCACCATGCACGGCTAATTTTTTTGTTTTTTTTTTTTTTTTTGTACTTTTGGTACAGAAGGGGTTTCACTATATTGCCCAGCCTGGTCTCAAACTCCTGGGCTCAGCTGATCCACCCACCTCAGCCTGCCAAAGTGCTGAGATTACACAGGCGTGAGAGCCACCATACCTAGCCAGATCCGTGGTTTTTTCTTTCTTTTTTTTTTTTTTTTTTTTTTGAGACAGAGTCTCACTCTGTCACCCAGGCTGGAGTGCAATGGTGCGATCTCAGCTCATTGCAACCTCCGCTTCCTGGGTTCAAGCAATTCTCTTGCCTCAACCTCCCCAAATAGCTGGGACTACAGGAACCCATCACGCCCGGCTAATTTTTTGTATTTTTAATAGAGACAGGGTTTGCCATGTTGGCCAGGCTGGTCTTGAACTCCTGACCTCAGTTGATCCACATGCCTCGATCTCCCAAAGTGCTGGGATTAGAGGCGTGAGCTACCACGCCAGGCCAGATCCCTTTTTTTTTTTTTTTTTTTTTTTTGAGACGGAGTCTCGCTGTGTCACCCAGGCTGGAGTGCAGTGGCCCGATCTCGGCTCACTGCAAGCTCCGCCTCCCGGGTTTACGCCATTCTCCTGCCTCAGCCTCCGAGTAGCTGGGACTACAGGCGCCCGCCACCACGCCCGGCTAGTTTTTTGTATTTTTAGTAGAGACGGGGTTTCACCATGTTAGCCAGGATGGTCTCGATCTCCTGACTTCATGATCCACCCGCCTCGGCCTCCCAAAGTACTGGGATTACAGGCTTGAGCCACCGCGCCCGGCCCAGATCCTTTTTTGAGTCAGGCAATGATAGAGCATTTGCCATGTGTCCAATCACAGGGAGGCTGGGCCTCACGTCCATTCTCACTTCAGACTTAAGCCATGTACTTTCTCCAGCAGATCCACGTTAAGAGGCTATTTCTGCATAAAACCAAGGATAAAAAATACAGCCTGGAGGGCGTGGAGGAGTTGGAGAATGCTGTGTCCGGGCACGTGGTGCTGGAAACTGCCACCATGAAGAAGGGCCTGGAAGGTTGGTCACCTGCAGCCTCAGGGACAGCAGAGCCACCAGTGTCCCTGGGGACATTCATTGTCCCCAAATGGGGCCTTGAGTTGGCTGTGGGCCAAACCCTAGGCACAAAGCCAGGGGTTTCTGGCCCTGGATAAAGGCATGCCGTAGGAGGTCCTCTGCATCCTTCCCCCAAACCCACCCTCACCAGCTGCTTCCTGTCCCATCCTCAGCCCCCTCCGGACACCAGCACCGCCACGCCGCAGGTGAGAAGCGCACCAAGGAGCCAGGAGGCAAAGGGAAGAAGAACCGAAACGTCAAGATTGGGAAGATCACGGTGTCAGAGAAGTGGCGGGAATCGGTATTCCGCCAGATCACCAACGCCAATGAGCTCAAGTACCTGGACGAGTTCCTGCTCAACAAGGTGGGACCACTAGGGGAGAGCCAGGGGCATGAGGCCCGGTCCGCAGGGGAACCATCACAGCCAGGCAGTGCTTTCTGAAACACACACCACAGGGCTTAGCAGGTCAAGAATACAAAGTGCAGGCTCAGGCCGGGGACAGCGGTTCATGTTTGTCATCCCAGCACCCTGGGAGGCTGAGGCAGAAGAATCACTTGGGCCCAGCAGTTCAAAACCAGCCTGGGCAACAGAAAGACCCCATCTCTACAAAAGGTTTAGATTTTAGCTGGTGTGGTGGTACACACCTGTAGTCCCAGCTTCTGGGGGCTGAGGCAGGAAGATCGCTTGAGCCCAAGAGGTTGAGGCACCACGAGCCATGATCGCAGCACTGCACTCCAGCCTGGGCGACAGAGCAGACCCTGGCTCAAAAATAATAATGATGCATATTTGGTCTCAAAGCAAAGATTGATGAAGCACTGTGTGCAACGGAAGTGGAGGCGAGCAAGCTGTGGCTGCCTTCAGGAGGGTTATACCCCATGGGGGTGGGGGTTGGGCAATCCTGCAGCAGATAGAGCTACGTTTGGGAGCTGCACAGCGGCCACAGGGGGTCGATGGGGACACAGAAGGATCAGGAAACCCTGCTAGGAGTAGAGGCATCTCGAAATGACCAGACCATTCCAGACATCCCGGTCCTAAGGTATGGCTGGGTGTTGAACCCCTGTGTGGGGCAGCAGGAAGGCCCTGAACTGACCTGTAGCTCTCATCTAGGGGGGATTCTGCCCTCCAGGGAACACTGGCAATGTCTGGGGACATTGGGGTTATCACAACCTGGAGGGAGGGCGCTGCTGGCCTCTGGTGGGTAGAGGCCAGGGATGCTGCTTAACCGGCTGTGGCGCACAGGGCAGGCCCCACTGTGGAGAGTAGTCCTGCCGTGAATATCAGTGGCTTTATAACTCTGACATTCATAACTCTGAGAGGAGAGATCAGGCTTGGTCAGAGGGACTGGATTTTATCCCAAGAGCCTAGGGGATGACTTAAGAGAGGATACAAGTGACCCTTGGGCACCTCCTCGGGTACGCAGTTCCCCAGGCCTGAGGCACGCAGGGTCAGCTCCTCTCCCCTTCCAGATAAATGACCTCCGTTCCCAGAAGACGCCCATCGAGAGCTTGTTTATCGAAGCCACCGAGAAGTTCAGGAGCAACATCAAAACGATGTACTCTGTCCCGGTATGTGGCGGCCCGGCCTTCAGCCTTTCCCATACCCTGCTCAGACCCGTCATTCCCATCCGCCCCTTGCCCGGGCCTGCGGGGTGACGCCTAGCATTCCCACAGAACGGGAAGATCCACGTGGGCTACAAGGATCTGATGGAGAACTACCAGATCGTCGTCAGCAACCTGGCCACTGAGCGCGGCGAGAAGGACACCAACCTGGTCCTCAACCTCTTCCAGTCACTGCTAGATGAGTTCACCCGTGGCTACACCAAGAATGACTTCGAGCCAGTGAAGGTGGGCAGCCCAGCACGCCACGCCCACCCATGCCTTGCCATGATCACTTACACCAAGCCCACCTGGCATGCCACGCCCACCCATGCCCTGCCCATACCACGCCCACCATGCCATGCCATGATCACTTACACCATGCTTACCTGTGCCTTGCCATGATCACTTATGCCACACCCACCTGATATGCCACGCCCACCCATGCCACGCCCATGACATGCAACATGCTATGCCTACCCATCGCTTGCCATGATTACATGCCACACCCATTTGTGCTACGCCTACCTCCTGGTGGGGAGTCCTGCACCGTCCCCAACAGGGCCTCACTTCTGGGCGTGGGGTGTCTGAATGGGGGGTGTTAGGGACAATGATGCCACTCCATGTGAGGGAGGGTTCAGGGTACCCAGATTCCTGGGTTATGGGTGCCAGGGGTGGGTTGGGTCACTTCCAGGGGGCCCCCGTCGACCTCCTCCTTGTGTTCCTCACAGCAGAGCAAAGCTCAGAAGAAGAAGCGGAAGCAGGAGCGCGCTGTGAGTAGGCTGCACGTGGATGACAGTCCCAGCAGGCGAACGTTGGCAGGAGCGTGCACGTGTGTGTCAGTGTCAGTGTGTGCATGGGCCCGTCTGCACACGTATGTGTGCGTGGATACGTGTGAGTGTGTTTTCTCCCCAGCACATACGGAGCTGTAGTCTTGAATAAGCAGACCCACCCCTGAGATCCCGTGGGCCATCATCCACCAGTGGCTGGGGAGGGCTGCCTTCCCCTTCCCCCGCCCAGCGCCCTTCTCTGGCCTCACAGGTCCAGGAGCACAACGGGCACGTGTTCGCCAGCTACCAGGTTAGCATCCCGCAGTCGTGCGAGCAGTGCCTCTCCTATATCTGGCTCATGGACAAGGCCCTGCTCTGCAGTGGTGAGTGGCTCCCCGCCCAGGCCCCAAACCCTCCACGTCCCCACCACCCCTCACTGCTCAAGAGGGCTTCAGGGCCAGGCAGAATGGCTCACACCTGTAATCCCAGCACTTTGGGAGGCCGAGGCAGGGGGATAGCGAGGTCAGGAGTTCGAGACCAGCCTGGCCAAGATGGTGAAACCTCATCTCTACTAAAATACAAAAATTATCTGGGCACGGTGGTGGGCACCTGTAATCCCAGATACTCAGGAGGCTGAGGCAGGAGAATCACTTGAACCTGGGAGGCAAAGGTTGCAGTGAGCCGGGATCACGCCACTGCACTCTAACCTGGCCAACAGAGCAAGACTCAGTCTCAAAAACCAAAAAAAGGGTCTTCACCCCAGCCCAGCCACCAGGTCAGATCTTTCTGGACCGTTGCCCCAGCCATATCCCACCCCCTCAAACTGTCCACCATCACCCGAGGGGCAGAGCCCAATTCTCAGCTGGCCCTGAGGCCCCCAGTAGCCAGCGTCCACCCCCATCTGCAGCCTCCTCTCCTCCTGGGCCCTGCCTCTCTGTCTGTGTATACGCTGCTCCACCACCTGAACCACTGGCCCCTCCTTCCCCAGGCTCCTCATGGTCCCTCCCCTGTAGGCCAGACTCAGCCCCAGGGGACCCTAAGAGACAGACAGGGCCCAGGAATGACCCAGCCGATCCATGGTCACACAGCTTTGAGGTGGCCAAGCCAGGACCCAAGCCCAGGCAGCCTCCAGAGGCCCAGCAGGGCCAAGAGGGCCTCTCCCAGGCCGGGCGCGGTGGCTCAAGCCTGTAATCCCAGTACTTGGGAGGCCGAGGCGGGTGGATCACGAAGTCAGGAGATCGAGACCATCCTGGCTAACATGGTGAAACCCCGTCTCTACTAAAAATACAAAAAACTAACCGGGCGTGGTGGCGGGCGCCTGTAGTCCCAGCTACTCGGAGGCTGAGGCAGGAGAATGGCGTAAACCCGGGGAGGCGGAGCTTGCAGTGAGCCGAGATCGCGCCCACTGCACTCCAGCCTGGGTGACACAGCGAGACTCCGTCTCAAAAAAAAAAAAAAAAAAAAAAAAAAAAAGGCCTCTCCCGTATGTGTGTTTCTGCCAGAACCAGTCGGGCCAGGGTCTTTTCAGCCCAGAAAGCAGCCCCACCACCCCACATCTGTCCAACAGTCAGTTGTCATGGTCCTGAGACACAGATGCGGGACCCAGGCCCGTCCCCTCACCTGATTCCATCCTTCCCAGGTGCCAGACACTCTCTTCTTTAGCGTAGCCAGTGTACCCTCTCCCAAGACGTCAGCTGGGTGGCCTGGGATTCAGTGTGGTTGGAAGAAGGAAAAGTAGCATTGTCTTTGCCCCATGACATCCTCATCCCAAGTCCCCAAAACCACCTCCTGGCAGGACTTTTAGACCTTTAGTTCTGCCAGGAGTTGGCCCTGAGGCCCTGGGGCAAGGATGTCACAGGTCCCCACAAACACGTGCTCGTGGTTCCACTAGCCAGACTGGGTCTGAGGCCACGAATGGCCACCTTGAGCTCTGAAGCCTGCCCACACGGCCTCCTCTCTCAGGAGTCAGGGCGCAGGTGCCTGCAGTGTGGGTTTAGAAGTCGGCAGGCCAGGCACAGTGTCTCATACCTGTAATCCCAGCACTTTGGGAGGCCGGGAGGGAGGGTCGCTTGAGCTCAGGAGTTCTAAACCAACCTGGGCAACATGGCAAGACCCAGTCTAAACCAAAAAATACAGAAATTAGCCAGGCATGGCTACTTGGGAGGTAGTCCCAGCTACTTGGGAGGATCACCTGGGCCTGGGAGGTCAAGGCTCCAGTGAGCTATGATAGCACCACTGCACTCTAGCTTGGGTGACAGAGTGAGGCCCTGTCTCAAAACGAAAAAAAGGAAACCAAAAACCAAAAGAAGGCAATCCAGGCCGGGTGCGGTGACTCACGCCTATAATGCCAACACTTTGGGAGTCCAAGGTGGGCGGGTCACCTGAGGTTGGGAGTTCAAGACCAGCCTGACCAACATGGAGAAACCCTGTCACTACTAAGAATACACAATTAGCCAGGCGTGGTGGCACACGCCTGTATCCCAGCTACTTGGGAGGCTGAGGCAGGAGAATCATTTGAACCCGGGAGGCAGAGGTTGCGGTGAGCCAAGATTGCGCCATTGCACTCCAGCCTGAGCAACAAGAGTGAAACTCCGTCTCAAAAAAAAAAAAAAAGGCAGTCGGCGGCCCCGGCCAGCTGGGTGGGCAGCTGCAGGAATCTGGGGTCCCCAGCACCCTCTGTGACTCCCACCCTGTGACCTCCTAGTGTGCAAGATGACCTGCCACAAGAAGTGTGTGCACAAGATTCAGAGCCACTGCTCCTACACCTACGGGAGGAAGGTGAGTGCAGGAGGCCTGGAACTCTCTAGAATGACACTCCACTCAGAGCCGGGTGCACCGGGAGGTGGTGCTTGATGTGAGGGCCAAGCGAAGCATTGAGCAGCCAGCAGGGGCAGCTGTGGCCTCTGGTTCTGCAGAACACACCATTGTCCCTGGTTCTGTCCAAACCCCTTGAGGCCCCCAGGCAGGGCCCAGGCCTGTGTGTGTGTCTCAGCTCCCCCAGCCCTGCTCATCCTTGCTCCCGAGAGAGTCCTGAGCCATGTAGAGGGAGGCCCCCCAACTCTGTGCATAAGGATGGGGTCCTGGGTGGTAGGGGTGCAACAAGAGTCAGGGTCTACTTCTGTGAGGCGGCTGTGGGGGCCAGGTTATAGCTCTCACCCCACGAAGGACCACCCATGCCTTGGGTAGCCTACAAAGGAAGCTCCTGCCCAGTGCTGCCACACTGGCCTTGACCTCTGCAGCCCCACACCCCCAACAACTATGCAGAAGGAGACAGGGAGGGACAGAACAGCAGAGGAAGCCCCGAGGGCCTTGTGCGGGACCAGGAGGGACAGGCCCCAGAGACAGCTGGAGAGGAGACAGCCAGGCCCAGACCTGACCCCCCGACACCCGGCACTGCAGGGCGAGCCAGGCGCTGAGCCGGGCCACTTCGGTGTGTGCGTGGACAGCCTGACCAGCGACAAGGCCTCAGTGCCCATTGTGCTGGAGAAGCTCCTGGAACACGTGGAGATGCACGGCCTGTACACCGAGGGCCTCTACCGCAAGTCGGGCGCCGCCAACCGCACTCGGGAGCTCCGGCAGGCGCTGCAGACAGGTGGGCACTGCGGGCAGGTGGGCGCAGTGCCAGGCCCCAGGCGCAGCCGTCTCACCAGTGTGCCGCTCACCAGTCCCACCCCACTCACCCCACAGACCCCACAGCAGTCAAGCTGGAGAATTTCCCCATCCATGCCATCACGGGGGTGCTGAAGCAGTGGCTGCGGGAGCTGCCTGAGCCCCTCATGACCTTCGCACAGTACGGCGACTTCCTCCGAGCCGTTGGTGAGCCCCACCCGCAGGTGGCCATGGCCAGGGTACAGCGCTTGCTGTAACCAGCCCAGGAGGCAGGACCACCCGGTCCACAAGCTGAGAAACTGAGGCCCGAAGCAGTCGGCCCAGCCAAACCGGGTTCCCAGTTTGGGGTGGGGCCAGGACACCTCTGTAGCCATCCATTCTTGCGTGGGCACCACAGGGTGGATGGCACCCGTGCATCTCAGGTCGTGTTGGTGGGGACAACAGGCACCTTGGGGACCCTTGGGAGCTGACACCCTCAAACCCCACTGCTTGCAGAGCTGCCAGAGAAGCAGGAGCAGCTGGCTGCCATCTATGCCGTCCTGGAGCACCTTCCGGAAGCCAACCACAACTCCCTGGAGAGACTCATCTTCCACCTCGTCAAGCAAGTGCCTCCCCACCTGCCCTCTGTGGGGTTAGGGCCGCACTGGGAACCCCCGAGGCAGCATTTCCCAGGGAGACCCGAGCTGGCGTTCTGTGGTGGTTTCGAACCAGGATGCAGACCGCTGTTGTGGGTTCTGGAGGGGGCCAGGCTGCTGGGCCGCCCGGGTCCGTTGAGGTACCTCTGCTTCCTGCAGAAGCATCTTGCGGCGCTGGGCTGCGGCACTGCTTTCCTAACAGGCACCCCAGGGCTCAGAAGTTCAGTCTCGGGGCTCCCTGGGACCTCCCTCCCTCAGCCGTAGCCGTCCTCTAACTGCCAGTGACTGTGCAGGGTGGCCCTGCTCGAGGATGTCAACCGCATGTCGCCCGGGGCCCTGGCCATTATCTTCGCACCCTGCCTCCTGCGCTGCCCTGACAACTCGGACCCCCTGACCAGCATGAAGGATGTCCTCAAGATTACCACGTGAGTGCCCGCCCTGCCCCGGGACCCCACGACAACTCCATCCATCTCTGTGTAAATAAATGCGTAAGAAAAGTCCAGAGCCGAGTGCAGCGGTTCACACCTGTAATCCCAGCTACTTTGGGAGGCCAGGGCAAGAGGATCACTTGAGGCCAGGAGTTTGAGACCAGCCTGGGCAACATAGTGAGACCCTACAAAAAATTCTGAAATTTTAAATTTTTGTCTCTACAGAAAATTTAAAAATTAGGCCAGGCATGGTGGTTCACGCCTGTAATCCCAGCATTTTGGGAGGCCGAGGTGGGTGGATCCCTTGAGGCCAGGAGTTCAAGACCAGCCTGGCCAACATGGTGAAACCCCATCTCTATTAAAAATATAAAACTTAAGCTAGGCAAGTTGACTCACGCCTGTAATCCAGCACTTTGGGAGGCGGAGACGGGCGGATCAACTGAGGTCAGTAATTCGAGACCAGCCTGACCAACATAGAGAAATCCCGTCTCTACTAAACATACAAAATTAGCCGGGCATGGTGGCGCATGCTTGTAATCCCAGCTACCTGGGAGGCTGAGGCAGGAGAATCACTTGAACCCAGGAGGCGGAGGTTGCAGTGAGCCGAGGTCACACCATTGCACTCCAGCCTGGGCAACAAGAGCGAAACTCCGTCTCAAAAAAAGGAAGAAAAAATACAAAAATTAGCTGAGCCTGGTGGCATGTGCCTATAATGCCAGCTACCAGAAGGCGGAGGCTACAGTGAGCTGAGATTGCACCACTGCACTCCAGCTGGGCAACAGCGTGAGACTCCGTCTCAAAAAGAAAATTTTAAGAAATTACATATATAAACTAGACAGGTGTGGTGGCAGGCACCTGTAATCCCAGCGGCTTAGGAGGCTGAGGCAGGATAATTGCTTGAACCCAGGAGGTGGAGGTTGCAGTGAGCCGAGATCACGCCACTGCACTCCAGCCTGGGTGACAGAGCGAGACTCCATCTCCAAAAAAAAAAAAAAAAAGCAACTATCCAGATGGTCCCAGCAGTTGTGTCTTTCTGAATGTGCTTTAATGAGCACACCCCATTGTACTAAAACCGAACTTTTAGCAAAGGCTGGATGATAGGCGAATGATAGTGGACTCCTGTCTCTGCTACACAGCGTCCTGTCAGGGGAGGATAAGGAACAAGCAGCAGCTCCTGCAGCTCGCACCACAGAGCTCACCCAAACTGAGTCCCTCTGGTACTGACCACTCCAAGCTGAGTCCCTCTGGTACTGACCACTCCAAACTGAGTCCCTCTGGTACTGACCACTCCGAGCTGAGTCCCTCTGGTACTGACCACTCCGAGCTGAGTCCCTCTGGTACTGACCACTCCGAGCTGAGTCCCTCTGGTACTGACCACTCCAAGCTGAGTCCCTCTGGTTCTGACCACTCCGAGCTGAGACCCTCTGATACTGACACCACCAGGCTGGCCTTGACCACCAAGTGGGCATACTGTGGGTCAGAGCACATGTCTGGAGCCCCTGGGGCCATCTGCCTGCTGCCCCTGGGACAAACTGCCCAGCAGCTTGGACTTCTCTGGGAGGCAAGATAATCCCCACCCTGCTGGTGACTAGGGGCTTCAGTTCACTCTGACCCTCCTTCAAACAAGGAGGCGTGCAGAGACAGGAGACTCAGGCTCAGAGAGGTGGAGTGAGCTGCTAAAGGTCACACAGCATGGGAGCCTTCACAGCCGTGTCCCAGGCACTGCTTGGTCTCTGAGCCTCAGCCACTGCCCCCCAGGTACCAACTCCTGGACCTCAAATGTGCCCGGGGCGGTAACTGAGTCACTTCCTCCCGTGGGCCTTCTCTGTAGGTGCGTGGAGATGCTGATCAAGGAGCAGATGAGGAAATACAAAGTGAAGATGGAGGAGATCAGCCAACTGGAGGCTGCAGAGAGCATCGCCTTCCGCAGGCTTTCGCTCCTGCGACAAAATGCTGTGAGTACCGGTGATCGCGGGGGCGGGGCCTCTTTGGTGGGCGGGGTCTGGTGCTGGGCAGGGCCTTTGGCGTGGCTTTGTTGCTGGGAAGGTTGTTGGGCGGGGTCTTGGTGGGAGGGGGGCCTTGGGTGGGCGGGACCTCCCATGCCGAGGATGGGACTGGGTAGTGGATGTAGTCTCGGGTAGCCGGGCGGGGCCTCCCTTTCCAGTTCCCCGCCCACTCTTACCACACCCTTGGCCACAGCCATAACCAGCCTGGCTGGGGCCACCGGGCCGTGCAGGCAGGGGCAGACTTACTGCCTTGAACAAAAGACGATGGTCCTCGCTCAGCCTCACTCCAATTGTGTCCCTCTAGGTGAGGCAGGTGGGGGACCAGTTTCCCACTTGCTGGTGGTTCAGGTCATCAGTCCAGCCTTGTCCCTTCTGACCTGGGCCCTCTGCCCCTGGGAAATGTCCCCAGAGCAGAAGAATCAGCCCCACAGTGCAGGGGTGCGTTAGTGGGGAACGGGCTCTGGGCTCCTGTGGGAACCAGGGACCCCCTGTCTTGGTACTGGTCATTGGATGTATCCCCAGCTCATGCCTGTGTCTGTCTTGGCCCATGTGGTCACCCTGTGTTCATCTCTCTCCCAGCTATGGCCTCTCAAACTGGGGTTTTCGTCTCCCTATGAGGGGGTCCTGGTATGTACACGTTCGGTGGGCCCGCAGTGCATGTCTCCCGGTGCGGTGCATGCTGGAGTTCCCTGGGGCCCTGGGCCCCTCGTAGGATAGACGGAGCCTGTCCTAACCTTCCAGAAGTGCATGCTGGGGAGGCCCCTTGCCTGCTGAGCTTCTGTGCCCAGGACGACTAATCGGCCACACGACCACCACTCTGTCCCGTGGGATTCCTAGAGAAGTCTCACTAAGAGCCCAGCGCATCCACATCAGAACTAACCTGGGACCTGCTCACACCTCTGGCACTAACCTCGCCCACTCAGAGGAGTCAGTCAGACCCTTGCTGCTTTCTTTCAGAACAAGAGCCCCAAGGCCCGGGACAGCCAGGGGGAGGAGCTGGAGGTGCTGCTGGAGGAGGAGGCAGCCGGTGGCGATGAGGACCGGGAAAAAGAGATTCTCATTGAACGGATCCAGTCCATCAAGGAGGAGAAGCAAGTGGCCCGGTCCCCTCCCTCAGTCCTTCATGTTTAGGGCAAGCTGGAGCGCAGGTTCCATCCCTGGTGGTCCGCTTGGCCTCGCCAGGTTTGGTCCTGTCATCCCTGATACTGGGCAAACAACACTTATTTTCTTTTTTGAAACGGAGTCTCGCTTTGTCACCCAGCTGGAGTGCAGTGGTGCGATCTCGGCTCACTGCAACCTCCGCCTCCCAGGTTCAAGCAATTCTCTGCCTTAGCCTCCAAGTAACTGGGACTACAGGTGCCCACCACCACACCCAGCTAATTTTGTGTTTTTAGCAGAGACAGGGTTTCAGCACATTGGCCAGGCTGGTCTTGAACTCCTGACCTCAAGTGATCCCCCACCTTGGCCTCCCAAAGTGTTGGGATTACAGGTGTGAGCCACCATACTCGGCCTTTATTTCTGAGACAGGGTCTTGCTCTGTCACCCAGGCTGGATTGTAGTGATGCGATCACGGTTCACTGCAGCCGCAATCGCTTAGGCTCAAGGGGTCCTCCCACCTCAGCCTCCCCAGTAGCTGGAACCACAGGTGCACATCACCACGCCTGCCTAATTCATTTACTTTTTGTAGAACAGGGTCTGCCTATGTTGCCCAGGCTGGGTTCAAACTCCTGGGCTCAAGCAATCTTCTTGCTTGGGGTGGGGGGAGGTTGGGGACATGGAGTTACATCTAGGAGCAGGACGGCCTGCTCTGTTCCACACTGGCCTGGCACTTTTGGTGGAGTGGCTTTGGACACCACGACGCTTTTTCCTCCAGGGAGGACATCACCTATCGGCTGCCGGAGCTGGACCCAAGGGGCTCAGACGAGGAGAACCTGGACTCGGAGACGTCGGCCAGCACCGAGAGCCTGCTGGAGGAGCGGGCCGGGCGGGGGGCCTCGGAAGGTCAGTATTAAGGTAGCGTCTGCTTTTCTCCTTCCCATCCATCCCAGCAGGCCCCAGGGCGAGGGTCCTCCGACTGCCGGCCCTGAAGCTGCAGTAACCCTGCCATCTGTCTCTCAAAAGGGCCCCCTGCGCCTGCTCTCCCTTGCCCCGGCGCGCCCGCCCCGAGCCCCCTCCCCGCCGTGGCTGCCCCTCCACGACGAAGGCCGTCGTCCTTCGTAACGGTCAGAGTGAAGACCCCCCGGCGGACCCCCATCATGCCCACGGCCAACATCAAGCTCCCACCAGGCCTGCCCTCCCACCTGCCTTGCTGGGCACCGGGTGCCCGGGAGGTGGCTGCCCCAGTGCGGCGCCGGGAGCCACCTGCCCGCCGCCCGGACCAGGTACATTCCGTGTACATCACGCCCGGGGTACACCTGCCAACGCAGGGCGCCCTGGAGCCCCTAGAAGAGGATGGCCAGCCACCTGGGGCCAAGCGAAGGTACTCGGACCCCCCAAAGTACTGCCTGCCCCCCGCCTCGGGCCAGGCCAATGGCTGAGGGCCACAGCTGACAAAGTCTGCATGTCCGAGGACGGCCCCTGCACTGGAGCTGGGCGCCAGAGCTGCAGAGCTAGTGTTCGGCCCTCAGAGAAGGATCCAGAATCAAAAGCTCAAGAGCGACGTGAGGTGGGCACCGGCCCCAAGTGCAGAGTCAAGGCAGGGAGAGGCCGGCTGGAGCCAGGCCCCCCTCGCACCCAGCCCCCAAATCACCGACGCACCTGCGGGGAGCGCCACATCTCCGCCTGCAGCCTCACATCTCCCCACTCCCCTTTTGTACGTTTAACCGTTTCTTTGTACGTGGTTTACGTAACTTTAAACTGTAACAGCCTTAATGGAAGACCAAATGGTTTTTTATATGTGTATGTACAAAGTTTTCTATTAACGCTGCCCGTCTCCCTTATAACCTGGACTTGAGCTGTCAGAGCGGAGGCCACTAGGCCCCTGTGCGTCTGAGGCTCAGACCCCTGCTATGGTTGGCTTGGGGTGGCCAGTGGGCTGGGACCCTCCATGAGAGTTTTGGACACTTGGGCCACCTGACCCGTGCCCGTCTGACACATGTCTCCGGGGGACAGCCACCTGGCCAATGTGCATGTGAGGACGTGCTGGAACCTTCTATGGGGGTCTAGGCTATTGGCTGGAGCCAGGACATGAGTCAGGGGCACCACAGACCTCACATGCCAGGGAGACTTGAATGTGGCTGTCACTCTTCCGGACGCCAAGGGCTGCAGGAGGCTGGCTGCTCTTGGCACTACCCACCCCATGTGACAGAACAGGAGCCAGTGACTCAGGACTGCTCACGGACCAGGAGGGCAATGCCTGAAGTCAGACCTCCCTACAGGTCAACAGGGACAACCTGGGGATCTCTGGAGCAGGGCCCTCCTCTCTCAGGCTTGGCCCACTCCCCCAGACACCTGGACACATGGCCACAAATCTGGGACAAAGGGCCCTCCGCACGGCGTGAAATAAAAAGTGCCTGAGAAGTGTGTGCCTGGGATGCCTGCTCATGTGGGATCGGGCTTGGAAGAGCAGGGCCAGGGGGTGGGGGTCTGCCCTGTGGCCTCAGCCAAGAAGGGTGCAGGGGATGGTGGAACACTGTCCTCAAAAGATCTGTCTTGACCCTCCAGCAAATGGAGCTCCCAGCAGAGCCTCACTTGGCAAGGAGCACCTGCTGTCCTTGGGAGCCTCTCTGGCCTCCCTGTTTCAATGCCCAGTCTCTGGAGCCTAAATGTCAGCTGCAGCCACCACCCATCCATCAGAGGTAGCCAGTTCCCTGTGGGCCCAGCAGGACAGGAACAGATGGGCTCCCAGGCTGCCATCAAATGGGAGTTGTGGGCACTGGCTGGCTGGTGTTGGTTCGGGGGCCCTGAAGAACCCAAGTCCAGACTGCACATGCCAGAGGTTTGAGGGGCTTGTCCAAGGCCACACAGCTGGGAGGGGCATGGCTGGGATTTAGACTCTGCCCTGCCAGCCTCTAGAGGCCCCTTTGATGGGCCCTGGGTTTGGTCTCCATGGTTGTGGGGTTTTTTTGTTTGTTTTTTTGAAACATGGTCTCTGTCGCCCAGGCGGGAGTGCAGTTCGCACGATCTCAGCCCACTGCAGCCTCCACCTCCCAAAGCGATTCTCCTGCCTCAGCCTCCCGAGTAGCTGAGATTACAGGTGTGCACCACCACACCTGGCTAATTTTTGTATTTTTTGATAAACAGGGTTTCACCATGTTGGCCAGGCTGCTCCAAACTCCTGACCTCCAGTGATCCACCCACCTCACCCTCCCAAAGTGCTGGGATTGCAGGCATGAGCCACCACACCCAGCCCTCCATTGTATTTTTCTTTTTTTTTTTTCTTTTTTTTTTTTTTTTTTGAGATGGATTCTTGCTCTGTTGCCCAAGCTGGAGTGCAATGGCGCAATCTTGGCTCACTGCAACATCTGCCTCCTGGATTCAAGCGATTTGCCTGCCTCAGCTTCCCAAGTAGCTGGGATCACAGGCACCCACCATCACACCCAGCTAATTTTTGTATTTTTAGTAGAGACGGGGTTTCACCATGTTGGCCAGGCTGGTCTCAAACTCCTGACCTCAGTTGATCACCTGCCTCAGCCTCCCTAAGTGCTGGGATTACAGGCGTGAGCCACTGCGCCCATCCGTCTATGGTATTTTTCAAGGACATCAGGCCCACTGGTGTGACCAAGGTACAGATGATCTAAGGTATGGGAAAACATGAGGGCTGCATGCCAGGCCCTGGTCCCTGTGAAGCCCCCACCCTCATCCTCTCACTCCAGAAGCGTGGCACTGCAGGCATAGGGGTACTCAGCTTCCAGGTAATGAGGTGGGCTGGGAAGGGGTTCTCTCCACGGGGGTCTGGGCGTTAGGGGGGACCCAGCCCCACCTTGCTCACTCTGAGGCAGAGCTGCCCCATATCACCCTTGAGGCAGGTACTGTCACACTGTACATTTCCCGGGGGAAGAAACGGATCAAGAAAAGTTAAACTCGCCCAGGGCCGGGGATGGAATCAGAGCTGGAGCTGTGACCTGGAAGCTCATAACCACAATACAGATGAGCCCCGCTGAGGTGGGGGAAGCCTTGGATTCCTGAATTCCAGGCTAGAGCCCCTCCTACAAGAGAAATCGGGAAGGGCCCGCGGAGGTGAAACAGCTCCGACTGGGAAGAATCCAGGTAGTAGTGGGGTGGGGGGAGGTACTTCGAGCAAGCAAAACAGAACAAGAGGGCACAGTGCAGGGGGGTCTGACACCCGAAGATCCCGGTCGTCCTATCATTCCCGAAGGGTTAACACGCTCTCGAAGAAAAGGAAGTGATTCGCCTGAGTAAGAAAGAATGGGGTGGCGCCTCTCCTATTTTTTTTTTTTTTTTTTTTTTTGAGACGGAGTCTCGCTCTGTCGCCCAGGCTGGAGTGCAGTGGCCGGATCTCAGCTCACTGCAACCTCCGCCTCCCGGGTTCACGCCATTCTCCTGCCTCAGCCTCCCGAGTAGCTGGGACTACAGGCGCCCGCCACCTCGCCCGGCTAGTTTTTTGTATTTTTTAGTAGAGACGGGGTTTCACCGTGTTAGCCAGGATAGTCTCGATCTCCTGACCTCGTGATCCACCCGTCTCGGCCTCCCAAAGTGCTGGGATTACAGGCTTGAGCCACCGCGCCCGGCCCTCTCTCCTATTTTTTTTTAAATAGAGGTAGGGTCGCGCTATATTGCCCGGGCTGGCCTCGAACTCCTGGCTTCAAGCAATCCTTTCCCAACTCCGCCTCCTAAAATGCTGGCATTACAGCCCTGAGGCAGCGCGCCCGGCCCAGCGCCCCGCCTCAAAACAAGGTATTACTTCTGCTCCAAACAAAGATGGGCCAGCGAACGGGAGCAGGCGAAACATCCGCCCGGAAGGCCACTTGAAGGCACTTCCGCCCTCTCTTAACATGGCGCCGGCGGAAGGGGCGGGGTAGGGCCGGGCGATAATGGCGGCGTCGAGGCTGGAGCTGAACCTGGTGCGGCTACTATCCCGCTGCGAGGCGATGGCAGCGGAGAAACGGGACCCGGACGAGTGGCGCCTGGAGAAGGTGAGGGGATCTCGCACTGCCGCGTAGAGTCCGACTCCCGGGGGGTGGTTCCTAGGGTTGGAAGCCACCTAGCCGGACTCCCCTGCCCCAGTAGCCTCTCGGGCAGCGCCCTTTCCGGTCAGTCCCGCCACGTCTACCTGTAGCTTCCGCCCCCGTCCCTGGGACTCCGCCCCTCCCCCACTGGCCCCGCCTCCTTTGCGCTTGACCCCTCCCATTTGTCGGCCCCGCCCCCCACTCCCATGAGCAGGACGTGGGAACGACCCCCGGGTGACAATCCACTTTTCCTCCCCAGTACGTGGGAGCCCTGGAGGACATGTTGCAGGCCCTGAAGGTCCACGCGAGGTGAGTGCAGGCAGCCTTACTGCTTTCACATCAGCACGTGGCTATTCTGGGACATCCCAGTACCGCTGTCCCAGCTGGGACCCTTCCCTGAGCTGGGGACCATGGACAGGTTTTCTTTTTCTTCTTCCTACCTCCCAGCAAACCAGCCTCTGAGGTGATCAATGAATATTCCTGGAAGGTGGATTTTCTGAAGGGGATGCTGCAAGCCGAGAAGCTGGTGAGAAGGGGTGCCCCTCCCCCTCAGCCCCCATCACTGCTCACTTTCGTCCCCAGGACCTGCCCCTCCAGTGACTTCTCTTCCCACATTTTTGCAGACCTCCTCCTCAGAGAAAGCACTGGCCAACCAGTTCCTGGCCCCTGGCCGTGTGCCAACCACAGCCAGAGAGCGAGTGCCCGCCACAAAGACGGTGCATCTGCAGTCACGGGCGCGGTACACCAGCGAGATGCGGAGTGAGCTACTAGGCACGGTAGGGCTCCTTTCCTGGTCCCTGGGAACCCCTTGGACAGGGACGGGGGTTCTATGCCTGCAGGCAGCCGGAACCACAATACTGTCAGATACAGGGGCCCTGAGGGGGTCCAGCAATCGCTTCCCTGGGTCATCACACAAGGCCGCCCAACAGAGGGGCACTGTGGCTAAGGCTTTGCTAGATGAATAGCAAATTTGGTACAAGGCAAAAATGGAACGTGTCAGGTTAAGCCCCAGAGTTGGCCCAAGAGCAGGGTTTGAGTCCTGGCTTGCAACTTACAAGACACGAAAGTTTCTTCAGCTGTAAGAGAAGATGACAAGTTCCTTTCTGAGCACTTTATGTGGATCAGCTCAATCTTTTAAAATATGAGTTGTTGTGGCGGGGCGCGGCAGCTCACGCCTGTAATCCCAGCACTTTGGAGGCCAAGGCGGGCAGATCATTTGAGGTCGCGAGTTAGAGACCAGCCTGACCAACATGGAGAAACCCCATCTTTACTAAACATACAAAATTAGCTGGGCGTGGTGGCACATGCCTGTAATCCCAGCTACTCAAAAGGCTGAGGCAGGAGAATCGCTTGAACCTGGGAGGCAGAGGTAGCGGTGAGCCAAGATTGAGCCATTGCACTCCAGCCTGGGCAATAAGAGCAAAACTCCATCTCAAAATATATATATATATGAGTGGTTGTTACCAGTTTATAGTTGAGGAAACAGGCTCAGAGGTCATGGGATTTCCCCATGTCCTGACTGAAGGTGAAAAGGTTGAGATCAGAAGGGACAGGTTTGGGAACAAGACAAGGGGGGTGACTTCATGGCATTTACTTTTTTTTTTTTTTTTTTGAGATGGAGATTCACTCTTGTTGCCGAGGCTGGAGTGCAGTGGGGCGATCTCGGCTCACTGCAACCTCCGCCTCCTGGGTTCAAGAGATTCTTCTGCCTCAGCCTCCTGAGCCATGGAATCACAGGCACCCCTACCACACCTGGCTAATTTTTTGTATTTTTAGTAGAGATGGGGTTTCATTACGTTGGCCAGGCTGGTCTCGAACTCCTGACCTCAGGTGACCTGCCCACCTCGGCCTCCCAAAGTGCTGGGAGTGAGCCACCGCACCCAGTCTCATGCCACTTACTTCTTTCCACAGGACTCTGCAGGTGAGTCACCATGAACACAACAGGACTTGAGGGCCAGCTGCCTAGGACAAGACATACATCCTTGCTGCCCTGGGGCCTCCATGCCCAGCCTGACTCCAACAGCAACATAACCAAATTACACGTGGAGGAAGAGCCAGGACAGAGGAAATGACCCCGAGAGGAAACAGAGCTAGGCACTCCTGCCGGGCACAGTGGCTCACACCTGTAATCCCGGCAATTTGGGAGGCTGAGGCAGGTGGATCACTTGAGGTCAGGAGTTTGAGACCAGCCTGGCCAACATGACCAAACCTTGTCTCTACTAAAAATACAGAACTTAGCCGGATGCAGTGCCGCCTGTCTGTAGTCCCAGCTCCTCAGGAGGCTGAGGCAGGAGAATTGCTTGAACCCAGGAGGTGGAGGTTGCAATGAGCTGAGATCACACCACTGCACTCCAGCCAGGGTGACACAGCAAGACTCCCTCTCAAAAAAAAAAA